AATTGTTTTAAATAACTTTTATTTATTTTTTTAAATAAATAATTTCTAAATCATTTTATCAATTGTTTTTAAATATCCTAAATATAAGACCTTTGAGTTGAACAGACCTGTTGTACGAAACTAAAAAGATGTAAGAAAGGAATAAAAACATATTTGGTTGTTTCTACTGTTTCTTCATTTTACGGTCATTATCAATACTGTATATGACTCTTCCTCTCCCCTTTTCTCTCTCTTCAAATAATGTATTTAAAATATTTCATACATGCTAGTGCCTTTGCTTGATAATGAAGTTTCATTACCGTTAGCACAAAATAGTGTATCTGATTTGTTACACTACAGACTGCCGACATAAAATTTAATATTATTAGATTGCACACAAATATTTATATACAATGTAATAAAATTGTAACACATACGAATAAATATATTGAACACACATGGAGATTGTAAAATTAAGATGTAAATTTCAAATATTATTCTATGTTCCGCATTGTAGTTTGTTTATTATTTAAAGAAAGTAAAAAATTGTTTATCTCTAATTCTTATGCTTATATTCATTTTTTGCGGAAAATAGATCTATTCAACTGTAAAAGTATCATGTTATTGAAGCCTTCAGAATGTATCTGCACAATCTCAAATGCTCGTGCTTATCAGTGTTCAAACATGTATTAAACATATATTTAAATCTGTTACTCATGCTAAATTCTCGCATTTATTGTAGTTTGTTATAACTATGTTTCATCGAAAGAGGTAACTATTTTAACATTTGATCTTTGTGACTTGAAAGTTTCAACTCCTTGCCTTGTAACGGAAGTGCCACTTACATCCAGATATTCAAGACTTGATGCATTTGAAGCCAAATGTACGAGACTTAAGTTTGTAACATGTGGATAATTTCTGAAATGTATACAAAAAATATTACTTTTAATTGTTTATTTTTTTTAGAAACAAAAATTTGTTATGAACAGAATAATACCTAACAACCAATGTTTTTAAATGCGGATTATTAAATATTCGTTTGTCTTCTTCCACAACTATAACTCCTTCCGCTGAATTATTGATTATCCTACGATCACATGTGTCACTTCCTAGAGCACAAATTGCTCTATCTGTTATTAAACAACGCCCAAACATATAATTTTCCCAACGAAATCCATCCTCGACCAAAAACTAAGAGATCAAGTAACAATAGTAAAAAGAACTGTAACTAGCAAGCTAACACACATAAACTTGTTTAATATTGTTAGTATACCTGTGCAAGATTTACATCTTCATACACTGGAGGTTGATTCAAAATTTCTCGTTGTAAGGGTCGTGGTTCCTGATCACCAGAATCCGTATTACGTAAACTAGACGGGCATTCCAAATAAAGATGTGTCAAAGTTTTAGTACAACTAAAACATCCAACTTCACTATCACCAAGCGCTGTATCTCGTAAATCAAGGATCTGAAATATACAATTATTTTATTACTTTACTTATTAGATAAAAACATTGATAATGCAAATATGTAATATTGTTTACTTCTAATGTTTTGAATCCAAATCTTGTAGCTAAACTGGTGTAAGCAACACATTCACCTAAACGGTGACAGGAATTTAGCCTTAGTTCTTTCAGTTTTGGCAATTTACTCATAACCAATAATGAATGAGGAGTAAACCATTGGCAATTACTTAAAATTAAACACTGAAAAACATAGGTGTTAAAAATTATAAAATATTATTCAAATATGTACACATTAGTAAAAATTCAAGGAAAAAAAATAATGAAATGAATAAAAAGATAGTAAGCAATGTTATATGTAGTCTGCTTTTTTTTTATTGTCGGAATATTAACATTTATCACAGATTTGGAAGAAAATGAGTTATTTAAAAATGAACCTACCAAATAATTATTAAGTGACAGAACTTCTCAATTTTTCAATTAGTGTAAGCAGTTGTTCTGTAACTTATAGTTATTCATATATAATAAAACATAAAGAAGTAAATTATATATAGCAAAAGCAATCAAATATGTAGATACTAGAAAAAGTAATTTAAAGATACATGCAATGGTAAAGAGAGTTTCTTACTGTTAGATTAGGCATATGGAAATTCATTTTGAAAAAATATGACTTATTACTACGCAAATATCCCATTTTGCAGCCTTCTAACGAAAGTTTTTCAATGGTACGTGGGAAGTCTGTTATTTGAATCTGTAAATGTGCAAAATAGATCTTATTGTCTACAACAAGATTTTCTTATTTTTCTTTTCATTAAAAGTAGTTACTTAAATAGTTAAATTTACCTTATTTCCATTAATACAATATTCTTCAATAATTAACTCTTTAAGTTGAGTGCATGTAGTTTTAATAGAATTGAAAAAGCAAGGACTGAGTTCTGTATCATTTTCACAATACAAATCACCACGTATAGCATCTTGTACTATTTGAGCTAATCGCTGACAAGATCTAGTAACATATAAAACAAAAATTTTAATTTTATATATTATAATATTGTAACAATTATAAGTTAAGAGTTTCTCAAAACTTACAAACTTATTGCCATGAGATCACTTGGATTCAAATATTTGAATATGTTCAGCAAAACATCATCAGAAAAATCTAATATGTTTGGATGTGTTATTATATCATTTGCCTCTTCATTTTCTTCAAGCCTTATGCGTTTCATATCTTCTTCACTATTTGAAGCTTTAGGAGACAAAGATCTGCTACGCTTCATTTTCATTTTCTTTTTGCACCTGTATGAAATAAAAATAGAACATTAAAATAAAGTATTATCAAATCTCAATTTGAAATACTAAATGTTGCAAATTTTTAAAAATCATTCAGAACAATTATTATTAACTTAAAATAAATCTAATATCTTGAAAACCAAAGTTTTTCATATTTTTGCATAGTCAACACTGAATGCTTAAAGCAGATTGCACAAATTATAAATGTGTTTTATTGAAAATAATTTATAAAAATATACACAAATATGTACATATAACAAATTAAACAATTAGATATCGGAAACACTTGTTCTTTTAATGGTTTTAATTCTCCTTGCATCTTCTTTAAACAACTTTAACACACTAAAAATGTTGTGTGTTTTTAAATTGAAACTGATGTCAAAACACAAAGAAAGTTTTGTTCACAAAACAGTCTAATTCTGACTGCTGAATAAGCTGTTTCTTTGGCTCAAACCCAGAAATAGTGATAAAATTTCTGCCAACCATATGCCACTATGATCAATGATCCTACATAACTTTTTACATGTTTTATAAAAATGATAAATTTTTTAACATATCTAAAAGACACTACTATTCTTATCTAAAAAAAAAAATTAAAAACAGTTTCATTCAACTTTATAATGATATTTATCATTTTATCTGCAAAAATATAAAGTTATTAAGCTGTGTGCTAAAAGTATGTTGTGAAAATGTTTATTTTGCATTAAAAATATTTAGAAAACACTACATCAGAGCAATTTATATTGATTACAACTTAAATATTTATTTGATAATATTATAACAAAAAATTATATCTTCATGTGTCTATAATATCAAAATTTTTATCAATTTAAACGAAATACTTGTTCCTTTGAATAAATCACAAAATTTGTTGAACAATTGTCAAAAATCAACAAGTAACAACATAACCTATAACTGAAGCACTGTCACTACATTGTTGACGCTTACCTGAATATGCTATTATCACGAATTAAAATTGTTATATTTGTAGAAATATTATATTAAAAATTAGTTGATTTAACATAATGTAGTCAAAAGATTTAATTTTTTTAGGAGATATGTACAAAATGATGATTGCACATACTTCTATGATCAAACTTGTCATCAAATATCTTACTATAGATTGAACTTTAGTTTACTACAACGATATATTTGTAAAAAAAAGTTATTCATTCAAAATAGACTTACAGAAATTGTATGACGAAATATAAAAACAAATATTTAAAAGTTCGTAAACAATTTGTATGGTCAGTAAATTTTCGCAAGGAATTTAGTATGACTTAAAATGTTTCTAAAATTCAGACGTTACGAACGGAAACGAAACGATATTTCAAATATTAATCCAATATTTTGTGTAGACTTATTTCAAATTGTTCTCAATTCTATTTAATACTTTCTAATGTTTTTGATGCTTGTACTATTATAAAAACAAATAATATTGAACATTATTATTTAGTCAGTTATCACAATGAAAGAAGTTTTGAATACTACTTCTTTACATAAAGTAATAATAATAATTTTATTAAACAAAAGCTTTTTTTGTTTATTGTTTTTGTGTAAACTATACATAATTTAAATGTAAATATTTCATGTGTTTATAGAATAACTTACATAATTTGAAATAGCGCGCTAAATTGAAATCACACTACGCGTATACATTAAAATTGATATTAAATTTTAATTTGTTAATTTGAAAATTTTAATTTCTGTATTTTTTACATTAAAATAAATTTTTAAATCATGAAATGTCAATCAACCTTATTTTACAAATTAATTTAAACGGTATATATTAATATGTACACATGTGGGTAAATTTAAATAAACCATACGTTGATATTCTTTAATATATTATAATATATTTAAATATAGTATTAGTTGGAAAATATATACAATGTAAAATATAAAAATTAACAGTACAAATTTCAAAAATAATCATGTCTGAATAATTTATGTCATTTTTCTGCAAGTTACATACAGCAGGGGGCTACTTAAAATCAAAGTTTAGTTTTAGGATTTCATAAATAGATCTTTGAAGAAAATGATTTTGTAATTAGGCACAAAGTATGCAATTAATAAAAGCACTGTATTTTTGGATTTAATATCTACTTTACAATATTTCAATATGAATATAGGTATTTCCTGCTTTGCTGAGAATACCATTTCTTTAGGAACAGTGCACTAACAGTTTTTTGTCTTACTCACTGGACCATGTTATATACAATTTTATCACTATAAATCTATGTACCTCCAATGTACACCTAACTCTAGGTGATATAGAAACACAGTCTTAAACTCATTACTTTTGTTTCAATATATGTACAAGACTTTATGGTAAAATAAAGTCTGACCAGTAATTAAAATAAATTTTTTGTACTGTACAAAGTTCATTATGACATTTATTCTGGAAAAAAATATCATTACTGTACATCCAATAACAAATTCTATATTTGCCTTGAAATAAAAACTTTATGTTTATTTCAGTAACAATACTGTAACATACAATATAAAATTGTGCGATTTAAATTTTTCACTAGTATTTGTTTCATTAAACATAATGAAAGAAGTGCACATAAATTAAATATCACGATAAGCGATGATTTCGAGTAAATTATAAATTTCAGTAGTCTACCCTTCTTGTGCAAAAATACAAAATTTAGTAAGTATATAGGTAAAGAATTAATAAGATACACTGGGAACTTTTGTTTGATGATATAGTTGCCCCCTGTTTTCAATCTTGTTATATGATTGTTGGATAAAAAAGAAGATATAAATTAATTAATAATGTATGCTAATTATGTACAGATGCAATAAAACTGAATGTGGTGTAAGAAATATAAATTCTTTTAATTCCTCTTGATTTTTGTCAATATATGTTGGAAATTTAATGTGGAATTTAGACAATCATAATTTCCCATATACTTATATCCAAAGTTCACTGTATGGCACACTCTCATTTGTTAGAAAACAATGACTCTAAGGTCATTGCAAATATTATAATGTGCTCTGCAATATATGTATATATATATTGTATGCACGCTTAACCGAAATCTTAATTATAATGGAGTTAATCAGGCTGAATTATGCCTGATTTTACCTTACATTTATTTTTCTATTATTTATCCAATTTATACATAATATAAATTTCTTTGGTCTTAGATTTTGTTTTGTATTCTAAGTTTACATACAAACCATATAATTCTAAAATACTTTGTAAACTGGTCATAGATTGTTGCAATCACTGGTTAAAAAAAATTATTTCACCGATTTTAATAACTATATGTCTAAACTATACAACTATAGAAATATTGCACAAAGCGAAATAAAAAATAATTTTTTTAATTGATTTGGTTGTTTATAACAAAGAAATCTAAATATTGATTACATCATTAACTACATGAAAATGTAATAACAAAAAGTTTATATATATGATCAAATTTATAAAAAGATCTGGCTACTTTTAATACACTATTCTAATTCTATTAGTGTAAACAACTAAAATAATAGATAATCCTTCATACATAATATTCTGATTATACATTGATTTGATATTTTTGTTTCAAGTTACTTGAAACACATCTCTAATCAGGTATTGAAACAACCTCATGACTATCTACGTACATTTAAATTTTGCAGCACACAATTTTTCGAATGTTAAATAACAGTGTGCATTCATACAAAACATAGCATGCATTTCATACATGTAATACTTTACTGGCAAAATATATACACAATGTACTTCAAGTTAAGCTCATAAGCCACTGAAGAGTCTACTTTTTGACTGATTAATTTTACTGATATAATATAAGTGATGAATTATTTAATTTTTTTCTTTGTTGAAAATAATATGTAAATCCGTTTCATATGTTATTAAAGTACAAAAAATTTTCTTTTTGAGTAACAGCAGGTTTAGTTAAGAAAATATTCTGGCGCGTCATAAAATTTCTCTTGCTCACATAACAACAATCTTGTGATTATTACCATTTGGCAAGAGAACATAATAGACACGCTTCCCCTTATCTCATTGAAACTCCTGTATATTATTATGATACTGATTATTAAATGAACCATTTGGTTGTTCATTTCTTTCAATAACACTTTGCATTTCAACTGTTGATCCATTATTAGACTGTCCATTGCTATTATTTAGGTTTCCAGAATTAGCAACATTATTTGTAACTATGTTTACATTATTTGTAGTATTAGATTGTTGTGTTTGTTGTTGTTGTTGCTGTTGCTGCTGCTGCTGCTGCTGCTGCTGACCATTTACAGCATTCTGAGCAGAATTATTATTATTTTTCGATCTATGCCTAAGTTTGTGAGTTGTAAGGTATTGTTTTACAGAGAATGCCTTGTGACAAATATCACACTTGTATGGTAAGGGATCCTGACAATTTACACCATCCCCAATAGTTGAAGCATGAGTTGTTAAATGCATTAAATAATAATGCTTTACCACAAATGATTTCCCACAAGTTTCACAAATATATGGACCTGATACACCATGTGTTTTACGATGTTTGTGAAGATTGTCTTTTCGAGAAAAGCTTTTACCACACATTTCACACTCATGCATCTTTTCACCTGTATGAGATACAGAATGCCTAACTAAATGTTCTTTGCGACTAAATGCTTTTGAACATGTAGTACACACATATGGACGTTCACCAGTATGTAATTTCCTATGCTGATAAAGATGTTCTCTTCGTTTGAATGGTTTACCACAAACATCACAACTAAAAGAATTGCTATTAGTTTGTAAAGGATCTTCTTTGTTACCACTATTCTCAGAGGTTTCACTTAAAAGACTTTGAACAGAACAACTATGACCATTTAATTGATTTATGGAGGAAAACATTTTGCCACAATCTTTGCATGTGGCATTCCTATGAGTTTGTGAAATAACTTGAGGATTCACAGTAATTAGAGATGTTGGTTCAGGCCCTGATTTTATTCTTAAAAATTCTGAAATTTGTCCAATTGAGTTACGAGATATGGAATCTTCTGATTTTGCAAAATCTTTGAACTCTTTTCCTTCATCTCGAACAGTTTGTGTGACCAAAGGAGTTTCTTTGAATCCTAAATTTAAAAATACTTCTGGTGTAGCCTGTACAGTTGTATAACTTTGTACATTTTGTGTTGCACTTTCATCTTTCTGAGTTTCAGATTGTACCTTTTGAATAATCTGTTGATTTTGTTTAGATTCAGGTTCTGCTTTTAAAATGATGTTATTATTTTGATGTACTACTTGTGCTTGAGGTTCCTGCTTAATAGGAAATTCTTGCTGAGAAGTAATTTGCACCTGTTTTTCAATTTGTTGAAGTTGTCTATGTTGTTTTTCAAATTCCCTTTGCTGTCTTTGTAACTGTTGAATTTGTTGTGTTATTTGTGATTGATTTTGTTGCTGCTGCTGTTGTTGACCAACTTGTGTTTGATTTTGTGGATGAGAAATATGAGCTGACTGATTAATTTGTTGAGAAATTTGTCTTTGTGATTGTATTTGGCCATGATTCTGGATTTGATTTTGCACTTGTTGAATTTGTGTGGTTGGACTCTGTTGATCATTAATTTGATTTTGTGCTTCATTTGATTGTTGAGGTGATACTTGCTGCGAAGTTTGTTGTTGATAACTATAATGTGTTTCTGCTGTTGCTTCTACAACAGCAGCTGCCATACCTCCTGGTTGCATCTAAAATACACACACACATACACACATATATATGTGAAAAAAATTTTGAATTATAAGTTTTGAATAAAAACAACTGAATATAGGTAGTACTATATAATAACAACAGTAATAATTTATAATATTCATTTTGAACATTTTTCTTTTTAACAAACCTGCATGGCACATTTATATTGTTGAACTCTTGCTTGAACTCCACTGATAATTTGAATATTAGAAGCATTTATGTTACTAACGACAACAGGTTGTTGATGTTGCATTTGTTGATCATTGTTCACTATTTGATTTCCTGTAGTAGGTGCTATTTTTTCTATTGTCTTTAGTACTTCACTCTCAGGTGTTACAGGTCTATCTTTTTCTGTGCTTTTCACATAAACCTTACCTTCTTTTAAGAAATCTTCAGAGAATCGCAGTGAAGTAAAATATGATTCTAGCATACTCTCTGCACTTATAACTGTTTCTCTAAATTCAATAAAGTTTTCTAATTTTTTCACACATTCATGGCAAACAATTTTTGGTAATGAATCCTCTTCTAAAACCTTAAAGTATTAATTACATCTTATATATTATTTGTCGATTATTTGTTGACAAAACAATCATTTAGGTAATTAAATCACACGATCAAATCAAGAATTGTGATACTAGAAGTATCTATAAAAGACTGTCTGTTTTACAATCTGAATGTTTAAAAACCTATCTTGATTAAAATAAAAATATATAGCCTTACCTGTACAGGTAAATATGTTTGAATTTTTGAATGAAGATGCAGTCTACGGCCTTCTTCTCGGAAAATGTTCATTTTGGTTCCTTCGCTGCTGGTACACAATCTGCACAGTTCGTAGTAATTCACTCTTCGATATCCAGACATTGTTTTCCCGCGGAAAACTCAATTGCGCGACCTTAGGAAAATCGCGAGTAACTCCGTTTCCGAAGAAATACACAGGTAACAATAATCACTGTTGCGCTATCATCGTTGACGATGCTGTTTTGCATACAAAATAAGATTCCGCTTGATATCGCATTTCTGAGACTACGTGAATTGCACCCGTGGCCATTTGCAGTTTGTGATTATAGCGACAACGAAGGATAACAAAACGCGCTAAAAATTCAAACTTGCTCTCTTACCACGTACAAACACGTATGAGTATAAAAACATAAAAGAAGGTTTAATTATACAATCTGCTACAATGGATTATCTTGTATATGATTTTTAAATTATTACATGCTAATATAGCTTGATAACAATTACAATGCCATTCATTTATGTTTACATATTATATCAAATAATAAAATAAGAATGCACGTATAATACTTTCAATTTTAAAAAGTTATAACTACTGTATATGTATATATAGGACATGAAACAATAAACAAAAACTGCTTTAAATTTGAATTTTATATAATGTTAAATTTTATTAAAAGTATATTTATAAAATTTTTCATTCATACATGATATGCAGAAAAAAAATAATTCGAGTAAGGAGAAGATTTAAATGAAACATATTCTGTATAATGATACTTCATGGTTCTGCGAGGTCCAATCTGATTTAAGAGCGAGAATATATCGAATGAGGAAACGTGGAACATTGAACCGGATAGATGAAAATGTCATCACCAACTGGTAGAGTTTCCTGTGGGGATAGTGTCAGGAATAGCTTTGGTGGGTGGTGATTGACCATTTTTATTCCACGGATTTCACATCGATATGTCTATTCAATTTGCAAAAATACGTAAAAATGGAACAGGTTGATGGTAAATTATGAAACAGAATCTATTGATCGAGAGAGAACGTGGTAACAAATATCACGGTGTGATAGCGCGAGGATCCTAACCTTGTTAAAAATGAAGTCAGGCACCATGGACAAACATAGAGGCTCTACAATTTTAAAACCGGAAGAAAACGAGCAAGTCTTTCAATTGATAGGAAATCGGTGCCAGGTAAAGATTATTCTAACAAAAATTTATGACTATGAATATCGTAAGTGTCATTTTAATACACTGATTTTGACCTAAATTTTGTCGATCGACAAATATAGATAAACATGTACTGTCACTTTAATTTTAACATTATTTGTAAATACTTTTGCCATTATTGATATAATAGCTAAATTTTAATCTTCTTTGCTTAGTAGACATATAGCATTTATTTGAAATTTATCTGATGGATTATATTTGACATTGACATATTTAATACTGTGTAGAAAAATTTATAATGTTGAAACACTGAACTGAACGATTTTATTTAAAAACATTAATGATATAGTATATTTGTTTTCACATAAAATCACTGTAAGAGTAAACTGATGTATTTAAATTTATGTATTAGTCATGAGTGAATCAAATGACATCAGAGGATTAATAATCATGCAAAAATTTTTCACTGTATAATTGTATAGTTTTTTTTTATTTAAACAGCCAAGCAAACTTAATACTTTTATACTTTCAATGTCTATACCTCATTATTTACAGTTAATAAGTATATAGCAGCAAGAAATAAATGTTTTAAGGTAACAATTAGTTTTAAACAATGTAGTATAATAATAAAAGAATGTGAATTACTTTTATTTCTTGCAGTGTTTAGCAGCTGGTATTATTCAATTATATTTGACTGAACCACCTTTGCATAAAGAATGGATAAAGAAAACTACAGGTATTATAACATTGATAAGGGATAATCCTAGACGTAGTTTCTTCCTTCGTTTATATTGCTTACAAAGAAAAGCAATGTTATGGGAACATGAAGTTTATAATGCAATGGAGTACAAGGCACCATTATCATATTTTCATACATTTGAAGCAGAAGATTGTATGGCTGCTTTTAATTTTGCTAGTGACACAGATGCTGTAAATTGAATTGTTGAATATTTTTCTTAGGAGCATTCTTCTTGGCAAGCTGAATGCCAAACGTCAGAGAAGGATACAGAGACGGTCTAAAATGGAAGGTGAAACTCAACATGGTGCAACATTACCATGGAGAAATCAAAGCAATACAAATACATCACCCATTGCATTTAGCACAGGGTCAACCTCTAATTTATCAAATGGAACTCCAAATACAATTGGTGTTAATAGGAGTGCTTCTAGTAGTTCCATGTATAAAAGTAAAAAGAAAAAACGAGATAAAGCTAAGCGAAAATTAACAAAAGATGACATTGGTCCTCCATCCAATTTTAGGTTGGGACTGTATTCAATTACTATACTAACATTGCTTTTATTAAATTTGACAAATGTTTTATGATTATCTGAACATTTTTAGACATCTTTCACATATGGAGTGGAATGCCAGTAGCAAAGAATTGGAATTAGAACAAGTTGATCCACATTTAAAAATGTTTCTTGATAAGGTTGGTGTGTCAGAACACCAATTCAGGAATCAAGACACGCGCAATTTTATTTATGATTTTATTGAAAAAAATGGAGGCATGAGTGCCATTAGAGAAGATATTTCCTCATCTATTCCAAAAACTAATGTACAACAATTACAACAGTCACAACAGCAACAACCACCACCAATAGCACCTCAAAGACAGGAATATCCTCCTCCAGTTCCTGCAAGAACAATACCTGTTTGTATATTTTGTCTTGTAAGATTATATAATTAGACAAGACATATAATATTAACAAAGTAACGTTTTTACAGCATCAAACCAGAATTGCTCCACCACTACCTCCAAATCGATTTAATGCACCTTCAACACCACCAAGTGCACCACCTAATGCACCACCAGTTCATAGAACATTGCCAAGTCGACCACCACCACCTTCTTTAACTTCTGCTCCATCACTACCACCACCTCCACCCCCACCTCCTCCACCACCACCACCAGCACCAGCTCCAGTTCCACGCTCCAGAAGTAACTCAACTGCACCTGTTCCACCTCCACCACCGTTGCCTAATCTACTCAACACTGATGATGGAACTGTCAACATAAGTTCTTCCAATAATAATAATACTAGTAATAACAATAATAACGAAGACATTGCTGACCTTAGGTCAACGCTCATGGAATCTATAAGGAGTGGCACTATACTTAGAGTCAGTACCAAAACTAAGAATTGTCACATATATTATATCATGGAATTCGATAGTTATACTGTACTTTTATATTTCAGAAAATTGATAAGTCTGAAACAAAACAAGCTCCCCCTGTTGGAGATTCTAGAAATGCTTTATTGGAGCAAATTCGTCAGGGAGTTGAATTAAGGCCTGTTTCGAATGAGGTAAAAAGTAAAACACCAGTATTTCAAGGTGGATTAGCTAGTGCTTTATCGAGGGCTCTTGCTGAGCGATCAAGTGCAATCCATAGTGAAAGTGATGAATCGACTAGTGAAACCAGCGACGATGATGAATGGGATGATTAACTCAGGTCAGTTAAAAATGGATAATGTGTTATCAAATATAACGTTAATGCCATCTTTCTAATAAAAATATACAATACGATTACAGATGAAGTATACAACTCGAGGAATAAAATAATATATCTCTGTGATAAATCTGCTATCAATAAACATGTAAACAGATTAGCTACTATAAATGTATAATGTAACGATTTTGAATTTGATGTCCAAAGAAGAATGAAAATCATATGTAAATGTTCCGAAAAAGGAAATCACTTAAACGTGTTATCAGAAAGTAAGGCACATGGATAGGGCAGGTAAGGGCAGAACGAAGCTCCTAGTATCATTTTGAAAAAATTGTTACATATGACTATCAAAAAAACTATATGTATATATAAATATATAAACTAAATGCAATGTTATATAGCACAACAGATATATAAGAATCGGTCTTTCGTTTGGTATTATTTATTTGTTCAACTGAGAATCAATACTTACCAAATAAAACGTTTACTATAAAGTCAACTATGCCTATCCATGCTGTTTCAATGAATATCATAAGAAATATTATAACGAATACAATTAAGTAAGAAGTAGCGTAACTATATAGTCCAGTTAATGATATTGCAAATTTTATGTAAGTTCATACTATTACTTTACAATTTAGCACACTCCGCTTATGACAATTCTGAAACTTTCGCCCTAGTTTACCCTGCCCAATTCGTGCGATTCAAAGTGCATGTAATTTTAAGTTAACAGTGACATTAGTACAGGATGCACATTTATGGTGGAACAAAACGTAAATCGTACACATAGATTTCCAAATTAATTGGAATAGATCTACTATTTCGAATAGAATGGAAAAATACAGAATATTAGAAGACATTACATTTTCCTTTTTCAGCTAAATACTCTGTGAGATTGCAATAATTTCGACAATGAACCATATACGAAATACACATCGAAACTGTATTAATTCGTAGGAACTTTAATACATTTCGAAAAACATATAGATGATGTACCTACTATGTACTATTGTACAGGTTGATTTTTAAGAATTTAAGCTCTTATCTATTATTAAAATTAATCGCATTAAGATGTTAAGGTCTGATATTTCGAAATTAAGAATCGATTCTTATAAGAGCTATACAAGTTATACATCTTAAATCTATCGGTACACCTAAACCATTGTCAAAGATGAAAATTCTCTCTAATTGATCGTTTCGTTTACAAACTTGGAAACTCGTTTTAGGTGTATCTGAATTACGACCTTGTATCTAGTCGCTTATGAAGCTAAAGCTGGTGCCCCAAATTGAGATATAAATGATAATACCCTAAATGAGTTTCTAAAGTCTTTAAATGATTCAGTGAATTGGGAGTTGATAATTCTACTAATTCTATAATTAATTTTCTACGTTTTCATTTTATTCTTCTAATTTATTATATCAGTTTTAATATTTGACCGAACATAACTTCCGTTTTAAGAGAATATCACACGAGTGGTATTTTTTCTTTTATTTATTTTTTTTTTCTTTTGTTTAGAATGCAAGAGAATTAAATGAATTTCCACATGATGATGTATGGCAATTTTCGCATCGCTGGACAATATAATTCGTTTGTTCGATTAAAAAAAGAAAAACAAAAAGCGGCGTATCAAACGACTCTTAGATATATCCTACTAAAGTATATAAGCATAAGATTATGATTAAAACGATGTAGTAAGAATTGTATATTTTCACGTGTGTGTGATATAGGTGTCGAGCCCGCGGAAATGAGTTGAAAAACCGAGAGAAATTGTCTTCGGGGAATGTAGTACGAGGCACAAGATAGAGTTTTACGCCACTATGGAGAAATCCTAGTCACACCAGAAATGAGAAAAAAAAGAATATGTTAATTACTAGTTACTGTATTTTATTATATTCTATGCAATATTATTGTAACGTAAATGCTGTGTCGACGTACGAATCTCTCGTTCGACTGACTAAAAATCACACAGCTGCAGGGTTTCGCCTTGATCATTGTCGAGCTGAACAGCGAGACAAGAGCGTAATCAAGAGAAAAGGAGAAAGTTATAACTATGTTTGTTAACTAGAATAAAGAGAAAGTAGCGAGAAATGTTTAAAAAAAAGGACTTGTTACAGATGATGAGCTAATAAGATTGTACGAAGAATGAGAATTCAAGAGGATTACAAAATTCTACTTTAAACGCATTATATATAAAAGTATTGTTGCATTTACCAAAATTCTACTTTAAACGCATTATATATAAAAGTATTGTTGCATTTACGAAAGAGTGAGAGAGTGAGAGAGAGAGAGAGAGAGAGAGAGAGAGAGGAAAAGAATTATTAATGGACAGGAATTTTGTGTCCAGTTCCCAGAAGAACAGTGTTCTTCTGTTGAATGTATACATACGACATTAGTACATCTTACAAATCGTATTCGGTTTGTATTGTGACTACCAAATATCAAAAGCTATAAAAAAAAAGAAAAAAAAACACGAAGCAACAATTAATTTACTTTAATACACGCAACTTCCTTTTACCGTATTATTTTTTACGTTATCTAAAATGAATAGACTCATGTAATAATTTACAGTGAAAATTTGATGAACTAACGCAGAAGGAATGTTTCTTCTCTGTTATTATACAAAAAAAAAAAGAGAACAAGAAAATTACATTTCTACAGAAATTATGGTATTCGTAGAAATGTAGGAAAAACCTGAATCTGTTATGTGTACATAGTTCTAAAAGGAACGTTGAATATACGTTAAAATAATGTTTATACTATTTATTTAACAGTCAGCTTTTATATATACTGGAATTTGGAATATTAGGTTAAGTAGATCAGATATGTATATTGGTCTAACTGAATATTTTTGCTATGAATATGATGAGACAAATAAAAATATATGTGCGTGGAATTAGCGATTAAAGAATAGGAGAAAACATTCAGATTTCTCGGTTGAATTTTGTAGTGATGATTATCTTGTTATTTTTACTTGTGAAATTCGACTTTTGTAATTGTATTAAAAACGTGAGAAAAAAGAACATATCAAAATTTTAGGAGTATTAAAGATCATTTAAATTTGAATCCATATTTGATTGAGATTTCGTGAGTGAACACGAATATTTTATTAAAAAAAAGAGAAACAATGATGGAAATGGGATTAAAATCATACAACTATATCCGAATTAATTATTACACTGAACTAATAAAAGACGAACCTTCTGAATTTTAGAAGAAAATAGCTTCTCGATAGAAAATGTAATTCCTAAAATTTATATAGCTCTATTTATATAATTAAAAAATTGTTGAATCTATCAATCGATGTTTAAAATATAAATGTACGCAATAGAAATGAAAGAGAAAGGAACAGACTAAACATGTTGTAACTTATTGTCGTTTACGAAAGATGTTTAACTGAACGCTGGTAGATCAAGGTGTAATTCAGTGAAACATGCATGTTACATCACTTGTTACAACTAAATGTTAGTGCAATCGGTATAGCCTATAACAATAGATCACCAGAAATCATAGAGTGAGAACAGTATTTAATTTTTCCTTCTTAAAAAAGAAGTATCAAATATATCAATTATTTATTTGTAACTCGATCGATATTACATAATATATTTACACAAAAAATATAGGCATATTTTAATACAAAATAGAACCACAGTTAAGTATATAAATCATTTCTGATGGCAATCGTATCATCAATTACAATATATATCATACATATTTGCCCGATACATCATTCAGTTTCATTTATTGTCATTCATTCGTATACAAGAAAAAAAGAGAGCTACTCGGTTTCACGAAGATCAGTACAAAAAGCATACTCTCTTTTATTTACACATTATTGCTGTGTCGTGATGTTTGTCGAAACGGATATACTAAACGCGGCAATGAACACATTTATAACTGTAATGAGAAAAACAGCAAACACTATATAATTATTGATTCTGTTAGCCAATCTCGATTTCGATTGTCCTTTTATGTCGAACCGACCTTTGCAAATCAAACAGGCGCCCACGGCCACCTAAAATTATCACGGTCATTATGATTCATTGACCATTTAAATAATATAACAGTAACAAGCAACATATTTTAATCATAAATCACTGCTCATCTTACCTGAAGAAACAGGCTGACAGTAATCAAACCCATAATTAAGAAAAATGTCGAACTCTCCCTTTGATATTCGATTAGATACCTTAATTGATTCGCGTTCGCGGTGATCAAAGCAAGGTCCATCATGCCCTGCGCTACGGTTTTTTTAGCGGCGTATGTGTCCGATTGTTTGAATGCCTGAGACTTCTTGTCCGTCGTATCGAATGATTGTTGCACCACTACCTCCTCTACGTCCACTTTATTTTTTTTCTCATTTGCGCTCATGGCTTCACTCTTGCATTAATTCCGATTTGTTCCCTCCTAGTCTCACAAAATACACGGTATTTTTCGTTGTTTTCGATCTTTGATCCGAGACAATAAGGCGTCGACTCTCAAATAATGTTTATTTACCTTGTGAACTCGATGGACATTCGATCTGTAAATCGATTATACACTCGTCATCCAATGCGATATTTTTTTCTATTTTTATTACTACTTGTTGTTATCATCACTTTTGTTCTAAACAAATTTATTTCACTGTTTGACAACTAGTTTGATCTATTAAACTCTGGTCAAGATTCGTTCGAACACCACACACAATAGTCGCTTTATTTCGAGAGCTCGATACTGACGTGTTACTCGAAAATGGAAAATTCAAATATACGTGACGGAGCGTTAAGAATTACTCAAGTACAGACTCAGAGTTCTTTAGAGCTCAAATATTCATCAACGCAAGATCGCGACTTCCGCATTCTATTAGAATTTTGACAAAGTATCGCGCCATAATTGTTCAACTTAATCATTAATGTTTAGAATAGAGAACACAGGTGACAAAATTCTAAACGAAGTTTAGCATTTATCGATTGATGATTTTTTTTAAAAAAACGAACGTTCCTTCTGTATAATTTTCAAGAAACTATCGAATTATTGTGCAATGAACTGTTACAAATTATTCAGATGACGTTTTCACTTCCAATAAGAATTACGTTGAAATTAACGAATTGTTATAGAGAGTAGGTAGGATGAAATTTTAAGAGAATTGCGTACTTACTGGGACAGGGCAAATATGTGAATGAAAGTTTCGTTAATGAGGAAGTGCCGTTAAAAGTAGAGCCAATGTAACAGTAACGATAACTACAGTCACATTGTAACGATAATTATTATCACGTTTTATACATCGAAAAAAAATTTCAACGTCGTTTAACGAACCGCAAGTAACACGCGATCGGAAGGAAGTGTTTAAGGACAGTAGATGTACACACGGTTTGTGTGTATGTATATAAATCGAAACACGGTAACTGTGTCATCTGTTCTATCAACGTCTTATCATCGAAAAAAAAAAAAAGAAAACGAAGAAGGAGAAGAAAGAAAGTAGTGGTAATGATCGCGATGAACAATTTCAGCCATTGTCTCGAAATGGATCGTTGGTTGATTGTGGTAGTCGATGTATGTATATTTAGAAACAGTTCTACAATCGAAAAATTGAATTTTTCTTCCGTGGTTGCATTGTACGTCTGATCGATTGCAATTCAGATCGACTGATTGCATCTGTACGCTGATAAACAATGAATCATCGATATAATCTTGCGGTCAATTTCTCTGTTTTTATATTAAATATATTCCGCTTTTTGAACTTCGAGAAAAATGTTACTTTGAAAAACAGAGATAATAGTGATGATTATTGTTAAAATAAAGATCGATCAAACAACGATAGAAGTAACAGTATCGTCGAATGAAAGAATTCAAAACTAAATAGAGAAATTTCAACATCGATTAATCGATCGCATGTACACAATGTTACATGTATGTATTTAGTTTACTTCGACGCTATGCAAAGAATATCCAAGAAAGTTATCCAAGAAAGATAAAATGATGACCTTTCTCTCAACATCGCTAAAACATATGCGAATCTTTCATCATTGCGATCTCGGGGTGTGCATTTCGCGTTTATCTCGAGGCGGTATTTCGTGTGAGAACGTGTCGCAACTGTGCTGGAACGATGCAGGTAAATTTACCTTTCTGCGACGTACACGCATTACATCATATTATATCGATTAATGAGATTAAGAGATTAGACAAATCTCAATTTACGAAACGATATTACTGTAAGAAGCGAAGATGCACGATTTACCAGGACACTGATTGTAGCTACGACTTCATGTAAATAGGCCCGCGAAAAGTTATGGGGAGGACGTTTCACAGAGGTCACCGATCCCCGATTCCACGATTTTAACGCATCGATCGGTGTTGACAAACGAATGTACGCCGAGGATATAGAGGTTCGTACGTAATAAACTGAAAATGCAAATTACAAAAACATTTATTATATCAAGGATGTACCGGATGGAGTATGCAAATAAAATCGGCTCCAAACGTAAAATATAGTTTTTCAGTTTTATTTGGTAAGAATATACTGTATACTTGGGTTATATTTTGTGTAGTGGTTCGTTAAATTCATATGCGCATGCGCGACAGCGTCGAATACCATTCAGTGTGACATGCGGAAATATATAATATATACGAAATATAACCGAAGGATTACAAACCACACGTTTCAAGTATTACATATGTATGTATGCACCAACAAATTAATATATTGGTATGTGTATATACCAACGATTTAAGCGCAACAGAGATTCTGTATGTGCAAATGAAAAACAAAAGAAGAATATCTAGACATATTGCGAATGAAAAATAGAAAAATGTCATAGAGAGAAAAAAGTGCTTTGTCTACTCTTGTCACAAGTAGTTGAATCATTCTTAAAGAATGTACATGCTTTTGATAACGTTACGAGACAAAATACTTAAACAGATATCATAAAAGAGATGAAATAAATAATTAATTTTTATTAAGAGAGAACAAATTATAAATCTATCACACAAACTTGTTACAAATATTATATACTTTATACTATTAACACCATAGGGCAGCGTAGCGTACGCGAGAGTAATACATGCAGCTAATCTTCTTTCAAACGAAGAATTACAAGCCATACTGGGCGGTCTCGGAAAGGTAATACAAGAAAAGGAAATTAAATTGACAAGCGAGAAAAAAAAAGGTCAGACGTAAAAAAAGGAACGTTTTTGGTGCAGGTGAAAGCTGAATGGGAAAAGAATGAATTTACCATACACGTTGAAGATGAGGACATACACAGCGCGAACGAGCGTCGACTTTCGGTACAGTTGCAGGAAGCGATATTGTGAGGTCGTAAATTAAACAAGAAGAATAAAAATGGAAGGACAAAATTTTACTATTTTACGACCTCGCTATATCGCTTCCACCAACTGTACATACATACAAAGTTAATTAATCGTGATACTTATTTTTATCTTTAGTTTTATCGAAACGGAACTGCTTATCGCTGTGATTATGCCATATACTAATTGTGAAACCACTTTCTTTATTTATTTAATTCATTTGCACACGTGCTTTTTGCATAGTGGTCTCAGTTTGCGTTCCATTCACATTTCTTTTTAGAAACAATGATGATTTTCGTAAAATTTGAATTGACCCAATGATAGGAATTAATTGGAGATACGGCGAAGAAATTACATACAGGAAGAAGTCGTAACGATCAAACGATAACCGACACGAAATTATGGCTTCGAAGATCTATAGATACGCTTTCGATGAAAGTGATTAAAGTGGTCCAGGTACGAGAAAGCCGAACTTACGAAGTCTCAGCGAAAAGGGAAACTGTAATTCAACACATATCCATTGTGTACAGGTTTTGGTCGATCGTGCTGAGAAAGATAAAGAGATTATTATGCCTGGCTACACGCACATGCAACGCGCGCAACCAGTAAAGTGGAGCCAGTGGTTGCTCAGGTATAAATAAGTGAATATACGATGTAAATATGCATCATTAATTAGAGATCTCTCTTTAAGAATTTGTATCTTAACAGGTTCATTGTCCAAAGAATAAGAGCATGAAGTTTTAACTTAATCGTCCAATGAAATTCACGTTTTGTTTAGGATCGAGTTCTTACATTTAACCCTTTGAAATCTGAGCAATTTTTCCGTCTTTTATTTGAAACTCAATATCTCGAAAACTAAAGAAAGTATCTGTACCATTCCATTGGATGAATTTAGTTACTTAAAAATGTATAATTGATGATTCGTAGTTACGCGTGGTACGCAAAAGCGGATTTTGAGAGGTTGCAAGAGATTCGAATGCGAGTAAACGTCTTGCCTTTGGGCAGTGGAGCAATAGCGGGGAATCCTTTTCAAATCGATCGATGCTTATTGGCCAGCGAATTGAATTTTCATGGAATAACCTGGAACAGCATGCACGCGATAGGTGACAGAGATTTCGTTGGTAAGAATGCACGTTTCGGGTAGCGTATTTGAATGTTTACCAAGGAGAATATTAAAAATGCAAATGAGAAAAACAAACCTGGTAAAGTTGTGTGAAGTACGTAAGAAAAAGAAACAAATTTCTTCTGTCTCAAGCTGAGTTTCTCTTTTGGTCCTCGTTAACGGCGATCCATCTCAGTCGTCTATGCGAGGATTTGATCATTTATAGCAGTGAGGAATTCGGTTTCGTCAGGTTCACCGATCAATTTTCAACAGGAAGCAGTTTGATGCCTCAAAAACGTAATCCGGACTGTATGGAATTGATACGTGGAAAATCTGGCACCCTGCTTGGAAAAGTTTGTATTTTAAATGATTTATGTTACTGTTGTTCAATTATTAAGACAATATTTCAAACATATTTTCCAAATTTTATGAAAAAACATAATCGCTTTCTCGTTCCACAACTTCTTCCCACTTTTTCGGTAGAGCCATTACATACACCATTCCTGTAAAACTTCTTTAGTTTTTCGTTAAAATATTTTGCACTTTCACCACGAACTTACGGGATGTCCTAATATATTCTTGCATGATGTTTCACGTTTTAGTGTATGGGTTTCATGATCACCTTGAAAGGAATTCCGTCCACTTATAATAAGGATCTTCAGGAAGATAAGGAAGCATTGTTTTCCACGTTCGACGCCTTAGATAGCATGCTTGTTATTGTTGCGAGAGCCCTAGAAACTCTTGAAGTGAATAACAGGAAATGCGCAGAAGCCCTGACACCTAGTATGTTGTCAACAGACATGGTGTATTATCTTGTTCGAAAAGGAGTTAGTATTTCGAGTATGAAGAAAATAAATTATAACGTATTAATTTTTGATCAGATTCATAATTTGAACAGATTCCATTTAGAGAAGCTCATTATTTGACTGGAAAAGTTGTAGTTCTGTCAGAATCTCTTGGAGTGTCTCTTAGCGAGTTAAGTCTCGAACAATTGCAAACAGTGAGGTGAGCAATTCCACCAAAAGTTTGTTTTATTAATATTTTCCATATTTTCAATCGTATTTTTCAGTAAATGCTTTCAAAAGGACGTAAAAAATATTTGGAATTTCGCCAGCAGCGTGGAACAGTATAAAGTTGCAGGTGGAACCAGTATAACAGCAATGGAAATGCAAATTAGCCATCTTCGAACTTGGTTGCAGCAAATAAATCCTGTCTAGCGAGTAAAAATAATAAAATGTAGTATTTAGTCAATGAAGAATACTTCAGAAATAAAAGGCCAGAATATATAATTTTCGTTCGACTGTTTCACGATTCTGCAATATGTCATCTCTCCGCGATCATTGAGTCTATATAAAAAACTCCTCTTCCTCATTTTTCATCCGAAGGTGACGAATTACGCAAAAGGATAAATGAAGCCAGCTAATTTATCAGTCGTCCTTTGACGCTCGCCGTAAAGTGGATCGGAAACCGCGTAGCTATCACGAGCAAATTATGTCGGTCAAGAAAATAGGTTACGCGGCGATCGTATACTGGGGCTACAAATTTTCCCGCAATATAATATACAAAGTCTATAAGAACTTTTTCTCAGCATCTACTGTCGATTTGTGCTCGATGGGTAAATGGGCGGTTGTAACTGGTTGCTCTCATGGCATAGGAAGAGCTTACGCAGAGGCATTAGCGAGGATAGGATTGAATTTGATTCTAGTCAGTCCTGATACGGAAAATTTGAAGACTATCGCGAGTAATATTGAGACGATGTACAATGTAAGAACAAAAGTGATCAAACTAGACCTATCACAAGGTCTGGAGACGTATGACGTGATCGAAAAAGAGATGTTTGGCTTGGAAATCGGCGTATTGATCAACAATCTTGGCATGTCATATCCGCATCCGGAATATTTCCTCGATCTTCCTCATAAAGAGAAGATATACATGAGTATCGTGCACTGTAACGTGATTGTTGTGACTAATATGTGTCGTATTCTATTACCACAAATGGTTGTCAGAGGAAAAGGAGTGATAGTGAATGTAGCCTCGATGGTAGCGGTAATACCGAGCCCCCTATTAACTGTGTTCGCAGCTACGAAGGCGTACATCGTGAAATTTAGCAAGGATATGCAAATAGAGTACGGGAAACACGGTGTGATCGTACAGTGCTTGTTGCCGGGCACGGTAACGAATCACACGACTGATTCGCCAAGATCGGGGTGGATGATCCCAACGCCAGAAAAGTACGTTCAAAGCGCTATTAGAACTATAGGCAAAGAAAACGTGACGACTGGATTTTTACAACACTCTATTTTGATTGGAATAATCAAATTTATCTATCGGATATCACCGAGTTACATCATCATTTGGATGATCAATATTATGGAAGGAAATCGGAATAATGTACTACGTCGATACGTCGGATGATTTTATAGAAATATTTCAATATACGAAACTTAAGGAAGACACTTGTAGATGTCCTCTTTTTATACGGTAGAATAATAATAAACATTTATTGCAATTTGACTTTAAACTTAATGTGAAAAAAAATTAGAATTAAAAGGGACTACATATGTTCGAAAGCGTCACGATTTCTAACATTTCCAGAAATGGTAACTATCTTGGAAATCTCTGGGTTAGTGTGGTTTCGTAAGAACTGCGTGAGGTCTGAGGTTATGCTTATTTTCTAGTGGATTCATAACCTCAGGTATCATTATGTTTTCATGAATTTAAGATAATCCTTGGTTCATACATACAATATGATGCGTCGAATATTATCTACATCGTATACACTGCAATTTTGTTGCAGCAATGTAAACAGATCTTTATATTTGAATTCTTATATCTCAATAACTTGATTGGGCATTGTCTAGTTACAAAGGGAATCCTTACCGGCTTCACGCTGTCAATGTGTCGACTTTGTTTTCAAGCAGTTTTCACATATAAAATCAATAGTGAAAAAGCGTATGCTGTACAATATATAAATAGAATTAAGTTGTTCAGACACATAAGTTATATCAAAATGGGTAGTTCTCGACATTATGCTATGGAATATGAAGATTATCATCCTAATATAAGTAAGAGTTCGATTGATGTGAATTTGGATACAGGGGAGGTAATTACACATTATTTTTAAATATATGTAAAATATGTGTAAATTTAACAAAATTTGTTTGTTAGCTCAAAGAAAGCTTTAAAGATATGCTTCGCACGCGTTCAGAGGAATTATTGATGACTTTGGAAACAAAAGAAGATTATTGGATGAAATATGGTGATTATTCTGTATACACTGGAATAGCTGGAATTGCATTTATGTTTTACAAATATGGAAAGTGCTTTAACAAACCTGATTACATTGATGTGTGTATCTTTGAATACTTTTATATCTTTAAAAACTGAGATGTTTTTAAAATATATACTTTTCTTGGCAGAGAGCAATGGAATTATTAAAAACATGTGTAGATAAATTCAAAAGTAAAAGAGAAATAACTTTTTTAACTGGTAGTGTAGGACCATTAGCATTGAGTGCGGTTGTTTTATATTCTCAAGGGCATCATGCGGAAGCACATAAAATGATTTCTGGGTATAAACTTTTGTAACATTTTATAACATTTTTCTATAAATATACTGAATTTATTTATACATTATTTTTTAGAGTAAAATCAGTATCTTCTGTTGTTTTGAATGAGAGTAGTTCCATACCTGATGAATTACTATATGGAAGAGCTGGTTATCTATATACTCTTTTATTTTTAAATGCAAATATATCTCCCCCTCCTATACAGGATGAGCTTATTAAACAGGTATTATCATATAGCAATGAAAAGTAAATTTAAAGAAAAGATAACAGTGTTTTAACAATTATAAACAAATATGCCAGGTCATTGCACTTATAATTAAATCTGGAAATCTGTGCTGCACATGGACTAGGTGGGATACTTTATATGTTACTACAGGTAGACACAAGTTTTTCTAATTTAATATTTTATAAAATAAATAATACAGAGACAGTCTATATGTCTGTTTCTTTTATAGGCACGACAGTACTTAACACAAACTCAATTAGAGAAAGACATAAAGCCAGCATTAGAATTTCTTCAACATTTACGATACCCTTCTGGAAACTTCCCATCATCTATTGGAAGCACCACTGATAAATTGGTGCATTGGTGTCATGGAGCACCAGGAATGACTATGTTATTTTGTTTAGCTCATAAAGTTATTATCATTTAATTTATACAATCGTTAATGATGCTAAATATTGTTTATGTATAATTAAATGTACATTTATACAGGTATATCAAGATGAGAATTATTTAAAGACTGCTGTACAATGTGGAGAAGTAATTTGGTCAAGAGGGTTGCTTAGAAAAGGCAATGGAATCTGTCATGGAGTAGCTGGAAATGCATACACATTTTTGTGTCTTTTCCAAGAGACAAAGGTTACATTCAATTTATACTAAAGATATAATACAAATTTTAATAGATATTAATCAAGTATTAATTTTTAAACAGGATTTGAAATATTTACACAGAGCTTCTAAGTTTGCACAATGGTGCATTTCCTCACATGAACAGAGAATTCCTGATAGCCCATTTTCATTATTCGAAGGTATTTCATTATAAATTCTTTCAGCCTACACTCATTGTTTTTTATTGAACTAATAATATGCGCATATTGTTTTAGGTCTTGGTGGTACCATTTATTTTTTAGTTGATATACTACATCCGCTCTCGGCGAAATTCCCAGCATACACCCTTTAAAATAAATACCCATTCATAATAATTACTTTTTAACAAACTATTATTTTAAATATATATGTTGTTTTTTTAAGTATGTACGTTACTGTTGTAAATCTTACACTTTGCAAATTAACTTAAAAATAATTGTTTTGTTGCATAATATACAATACATGATTATTTTCACACTTGTGTCAACAATAATCAAGTACACCGCTACTTTGTCAGATAAGATATTCATAATTTAAACAATTCTAGATAATTTTGTTACTATTTCGCGGATGGTCTTATGTAGGATTACATGTGCATCACAGTATCCTCAAACGTTCCAGAATGAACATGCAAAATAAGATACGTATATTTCTTTCGAAAAATGTTGTATTCAATAATAAAGTGCAACCAGCTATTTTAATTATTAAAAATGGCAAAATAGAGGAGATTCTCGAAAATGTTACCAAGCATAAAATAGTATCAGTGTTACAAGTGAGTATTCCAGAATATTCTTTGAATGGAACCTGTTCGCAGAAACCTGTTTTATCACAAGCGATTTCCAGAATTATCCAGGAATCGTGATCGAAGATTTTGGTTCTCTGGTAATTATGCCCGGAATTGTAGATTCGCATGTACACATAAACGAACCTGGTAGAACCGAATGGGAAGGATTTAGAACGGCTACAAGAGCGGCAGCTGTCGGTGGAATTACGACGATAGCGGACATGCCATTGTAAATTGAAACCACTGAAATCATACCTACACTCTCATTTCTATTTAGAATTATTTCTTTTTTTAATTGTTATACTACGTTAGGCATTTTCTACGTATTATCATCAAATTTAATTCATTGATAGTATAATTTTTCATATGTAACTGAAAATCGTCATCGTTCGAATCACCCATACTTTGGTAAATAAGGAAGAACAAAACGAAGCACTTTAGGTAGTACAATATTACACCAATAAATTTCGACACATATTTTTAACTGTATACGTTTAATAATGTCAATAATATACTTACTTTCTATTACGTACAGAAATTCTATTCCGCCAACCACAACGGTGGATAATCTTAAAACAAAAGCAGACAAAGCGCGTGACATGATATACGTGGATTTGGCATTTTGGGGCGGAATAATTCCAGGAAATCAGGTTGATCAATAACACCTTTCATGCTGAATCACTATCGAAATTTTGATATCAATCAACGAAAAATTTAAATTATAGAACGCACAGAATAAAACGAATAAAATTTTAATTTATAGAACGAACTGCAACCCTTAGTTGAAGCTGGAGTAGTGGGATTTAAATGCTTCCTGTGTCCAAGCGGAGTGGATGAGTTCCCCTGTGTAAAGGAGGACGACGTTAACAAAGCTTTGGAGAAATTAAAATCGACTCGATCTGTTCTAGCGGTATTTTCAATGAATTCATCAAAATTTTACAATAATACATTCGCAATCGGACGAGAATAATTTATCAGATGCTTTAATTACAGTTTCACGCCGAATACGTGAAAAAGAATACAGTTACTTCCGCGAAAGGTGATTGACAATTTCCTGTTCATTCATTATTTCAAACACACTGAATTTTCACTGAAAAATTTTTATTCAGGTGATCCTACCTGTTATGAGACTTTTTTACGAACACGACCATCTGAAATGGAGATAAATGCTATTAAAATGATTTGTCACTGGTGCGAGAAATCCAAGTAAGAAATATTCAACGACTTGCGTTGTACTTGTCATTTAGAGAGACAAAAGAACAATATGTTTAAGTGTTGTTTTAACGGAATTAATATAGCGTTCGATGTCATATCGTCCATTTATCAACCGCTGATGCTTTGGATCTAATAAAAGCCACGAAAGGTAAAGGCGCCCCGATAACAGCGGAAACCTGCCACCATTATCTTCTGCTGTCCGCAGAAGAAGTGCCAGTATGCGCCACCGAATTCAAATGTTGCCCTCCTATTCGAGACAAAGTTAATCGAGTAATTGCAAAATAATATTTTTCTGTGATACAGCAAAACGAAGATAATTTTTATAACATAGAAAAGTTGTTAACGTTATTATTTAGGATAAATTATGGGATGGCCTGAGAAATAAAGTGATAGACATGGTCGTCTCGGACCATTCGCCTTGCACGGAGGAATTGAAAACTAAGGGCAATTTTTTAACCGCTTGGGGTGGTATTTCATCATTGCAGTTCGGTCTGTGTTGAAATTCTACGATACTTTTTATTATTCCTTTAATGACACACTTTATTCGTAAAGATTCCTTTTCTTTCTCGCGTGGCAGGTTTATCGTTATTATGGACAGCTGCAAGATTAAAAAGTGTAGGGTTGACGGAGATATCGAGGTTATTAAGCGCTGCCCCAGCAAAACTTTGCGGGCTGAATGATCGAAAGGGTACCTTGTCTGTGGGTATGGATGCAGATTTCGTGATATGGGATCCGGAAAAAATGTTCAAAGTAAGAAATAAAAAAAGAAATCTAACATATAAAGCAATCGAATGGATTGAAATGTATGCATTATTGTTTTACAGGTTGAAAGGAATCATATTCTTTTCAAGAACAAGGTAAGTAAGGTGAAACATTGGGAAAGAATAGATCGAAAGAGTATTTTTTTTTTCATCTATCGAAATTCGTTTCAGTTAACACCGTACGAAAATAGAATTCTGTACGGAAAAGTTGAGGCAACTGTACTTAGGGGTGAATACATTTTTAAGGACAACCAATTATGCGAGAAACCCGTTGGCAACTTGTTACTAAAGAAAAATTTCTTAGACTAGTGTAGATAAATTGTTCTATTTTTGCGTTTGTCTTAGAAGCTTTTATATTTAAGATTGTAGATGAATGAAAGAGCCGTCGATTTGGCAGGTCAGGAGGGACAATTGGTAAAAGTGAAACGTCGACCATGGTGCATTGGTAAACCGGACGTTCATCGTTATACATTGGTTAATGGACCACTAATATTCATGACGAGTCGTACGATGGTATTTGTAAAAGCGTAAAGAGAAATGCTTAACAGACTCGCTTCGTTGAATCTAAAGTATTTATAGTGTTGATATAGCATTCGAAATATTTCAAAGTATATATACATACGTATACGTATGTAACAAATTGTTACATTCGACAAAATTCGCAAAATTCGCAATAAAGCTATCAAAAATATTTGCTACATTAACTATAAAAAAGAAATCGCACCTTAATATCCATTACGTCTTCAATTCTACCATAAGTATACATAAAGTATGAGAAGCACTGCGAATTCTCTCAAAAATTCCTGATCACGCAAGATATAATTACGCGGATGCTGTTTCATTTAATACAATCTCTCATGGTAGTTCTCATAAACAAGGGGAAATTGTAGTCATTACAGGTTATACCGTGAAGTCAGCAGTAAACAGAAATCACAGTGGTGCCAGTGTCTCCACTGACAGTAGGGAGATGTACTGACAGGGATATAGAGAAGGACGAGTGGGTGAACGAAAGCAAAACTGATGATCGTGTGTGTTCCTTCCTGTAGTTTTAAACTAAGTGGAGGATGAATCCTCCTGGTCGGATGGATGTAGAGGAGTGGCGTGCTACCGTCGTCGTCCCCGTGAGCATCTCGCATATAAAAGCCGCTTCTGCCTGCCGCGCGCTTAGTTTCGTTCTGTAGCGACCGATTGTGAAACAACACGCTCTCGACGTGAGTACTATTCACAAGATAGTTTTTACGAATGCCCTGGCTTACTTTCTTTTACCGCTAACCCCGAACAATTGCGCGGACGCCGGTCAATCATCTTTGACCAGTTTCTGAACGTTCCCACTGCCTCTACTGTGTATAATCGGTGCTCGCTCTGTCAATTTAACGTTGAATTGATGTAAGTCAAATTTTTCGTCACTTAGAATCCCCCCCATTAATGTTCTTTATTCATCAAGCGTAAAATGAGTGAGAAAGTTTATTCCGGAAACTTGAATCTCGCTTTGATTTTAATGTTTGTGAGAGTGAAAGTGTGGATACCTTTTTTTAATGAACAAAATTAACTATCAGATAGAAAAAACAAAGGTAGATAGCGAAGATGAAAATGTTAATTATTTCACGAAGCGATGTAGATAGGTAGAAGCATAATGCAGGGTTTACATAATTTCGCTGAACCGTTCAGCTCTACTGTGGGATCGCTTAAATGTTGCGTAAATAAAATATCGACGTAGATCTCGTCTTGTTTTACTACTTTGTTTCACAATTATCGAATAATGAACTATGATAGAAAGTTGGATCTAGGAAAATGGTATTATATATGTTATTTGTCCCCTTGCTCAAAAGACTTTTTTGTCAGTTTTGGTATAAAGAAATATATTGATTTCAATTTCGGCTCCTTTGTTTTATTTTATGACATTTTTAAATTAATTTAAAAAATTGCTTAAACAATGACACATTTTATTTAATTTCGTAAATTTTAATTTAAATTTGATCATAGTCGTAATTCGCGCGTGTTAATTCACGCGCGAATGATTTCATTCTAATTTAAATTCACGATCGTAAAATCTTTCGGGAACACTAGTACAATTATGTTATATTAATATCAAAATTTCACTTTTTCATTCATTGAACATACATTGTATGGATCAACATTTTTCAGTAAAATGAATTTGATTTGTATCATATTGTTTATTACGTGTTTGTTATTATTTTTCCATTTTCATGATTCGAACTTTATCATGATGCACGTAATATAATCGTAGTAACGTGTATCGATTCAGAAAAATCGATGATGAACTTAAAGAAATTGATGGTACTTAACCAATCATTTTTTTCACTTTGCGGATATTTGTTCTTTACGAGAAAATACCATACTTGGCGCTTCTCGTAAATTCACACACATTCTCCGTTGCATCAGAAATACGCTTGCAAGAACCGGATCAAGCATCCCTCTCACATGACAAAATAGGAGGTAGATATCGTTCCAAATTCCAACCTTTTTCTACATGAAGAGAAGCGGGGGCACGCTCTCAGATTACGCGTACCTTTTTATCGAAACAAGCTTAACCTCGTCTAATGATTAGAAATAACACATTATTTATATGTTAAAATATTTTTTAGAAAGTATTGCTTAGAAATAAAATACTTTAAACAGCATTCAGATAACTACTTAGATATAAGATAATCAATCAATTTGTATGTCATTCTTTTCAGATGGAAATCCGTTTTATATTATTAGTAACGCTATTTGTTGTGGGAGTAGCTATGGCATTTCCACAGAAGGATGGTCAAATTTTTAGTAATGAAGCTATAAAACAAGCGCAAAACACCTATCTTATTCCAAAAGATGCGACAATACAAAAGGTTCAAGAAGGCATTGAATTGGCAGCTTATGAGTCGATTCCTGGTGATCAGAAGATCAACCTTTTTGAAATCCTAGGAGAACACGTTCCACCGGAAGTTGTGAACAATCTTCAAACCCAAATCGATCAGATAGGACGAAATTAGACTTGTTTCCTCTTCTTCATGATCACTGTCATTATTTCCTTGTAAAAAATGTTTTAGACCTAAGTTTTGTAACGACTATTTATAAAATGTGATAAATTTTATCATACTTCTTTTATATGATGTACTTAAACTTTTTCCTTTTTTCATAAATAAACGAGTGAAAATGACGTATCCCGCTTTTAAGGCCTTTAATTTCTAATCGATTGTTATCGATTATTTGGAATAACATTCAGAACTTTCTTCACGACACAATTCAGTAATAAAAAAAGTTTAAATGTTCAATCATAAAAATGTTCGTTTGATGAAAGATGATTTATTTTCTTCGACTTTATAAAATTTGTTACATACTTAAAATATTTTAAACTGGCCTTTTGCCAATGTCATTTGTAAAAAAGGGTATTACAACACACATTCCGAGTAACATCATTCTTTGTTAAAACAAAAAAAAGAAACATCATTCACAAATTGTGAAACGTTGAAATAAGTCACCTGCCAAAATTATATATGTACCTAGTGATGTCGTGGAGAAAGCTGCAGAACCACTAACCAGAGATGCACTTTCACTTCACCTACATTTACATTATTATTGAAACAGTTTTTCTTTGGCATTTATTATATGGCATTGCCAAGGAATTTGAACGTAATATCAAATTGCCGGTAGGCTTCCTTCCACGTTTTTTAATGAACACATTGAGAAGAGGATTCAAAAAATGAGTCAAGGCTACGACAAATTTCGTAAAGTTGCACTTTCATTTTGCTTTCACTTTCGCACGAACCTATCGATATTCCTTTCCTCTTCTTTTGAACTTAATAGGAAAGTAGTTACGTAAGATCTGAAGGATGAATCAATTTTCATTTAGATCTCGCGATGTCGCAGACCAGAAATATACTTTTAGTATGGTGGAAATAAATATTTACTGATAGTGCTGTTATTAAAAACGTGAGTATGATTGTATTATATTAAATAGCAAATGATAATCCATCCTGTGGGCGCTCTATCAATAAGTGATAATGTTTTGTACATTAATGATAGATAACTTAAAAAGTATTTATTTTGTTTACTAAGGTACAAATTTCAAAACTATACGAACAAAATTATCAAAGATTTTGATCCATTTCAGCTTTCTCCGCTTAGTAAATTAATATCTATGTCCGATATCTTATGTACGATAGTTATCACTAGTGCATTGTCTTGCATTGAGAGCGTATTACAATTATACCTGTAAGTGTTCCTATTCTGTTTATTACAATCACGAATTCATTTTCATGTTCATTCGATAGAGAACAATATCATAACAGATGAAACAACTTGTTTCATTTTCTCCTTTCATATATATGTATGTATATATACAAGGTGCCCAATTTTAGTCTTTAATGCGAAGTTCTCGTAAACCACCCGCTGTATGAAAAGTGGTTCAGAGAGGAATTGAATTGTTTCGACGAGGGGGGGCATAATCTGGAGTAATTAGGTTTTCTGTATATGGACGCATAAAGATCATATGAAGGTATTTGATACGGCAGGTAGTTTACATGTAATTCACATTTATAGATTAAAATTGGACACCCTGTATGTATGTGTATATATATATATGTATATATCTGTACAATGAATGCCGTTTCAATGCTTTCATGCACTTTTCATTTACGAACTTAATAAGTTATTACAAATATGTTTCAATACTACTAGCAAACGAACAATGGAATGAAATGATACGTGTTAGTAACTATATTATATAATTAAGATCGACGTTTGTTTCTGTTTACTTAAAAAGAGATTTTTACATACAAGTGATAAAAAATGTGTTCGTACATAAATTTACGTTAAATTACTCATACAACTTCATACATGTTACACCGCTATCACCGTGCTGCCAAGTATTCAAGCCTTGGTAGCACATTATCGAACTTTTAAGTAATATCAACGAATCGTTTGCTAACAGTTTAAATGAATCAATGCAAGAAAATGTACTATTTTTGTAACTTAATCGACGTACTGTAAGTAAGAAAGTTTAATATACAATTCAACATTCGGTTTTCGTGTTTTAATATGTGCTTGACTTCCAATAAATTGATGATCCTCCTTATTTTCTGTAACATGTAACACATATGTGTAAAAGTAATGCAAAAAAAAAAAAAAATATAACAAAATTCAGTACGAATTTTATTCTATATAATGCACACTCATACATACTTAGATTTCTTCGACCCCCTATCATTTTTTTCTGCGCTATCCTCACGAGATCGTTTCCTACTGCTAGACGAGTTATGTTTATCATGTTTATCGTGTTTGTCGCTCTTCTTAGGACTAAACAGAAAACAAGAGCAAATGTAATGTCATCGAATGTATAAATATATATGTTAATCACCTGTGTTTGGATGATTTGGAAGGAGACACTTTCTTGTGTGATCCTCCACTCCGCGATCGATCCGATCTTTAATTATTAAAGTACAGACTTAACACAATTTTATAACAAAATTATGTACTTCTATGTCTAATACCTTAGAAAGCTACGTTATTTAAAACACGTGACTTCTTACCTATGTTTGTCAGAAGACGACGACTTTTTGTCTTTACTACTGGACGAACTTTTACTTTTTGAACTGGAAGAACTCTTGTGCTTCGAATTATGCCTGCGAATTATATGTATAAGTTAACAAGAAATTTAAAGAAGTATGAGATTAAATAATATACCTGTCCTTTGATGGCGACACTGAATGTTTTCGATTAGATTTTTTCTTTTTGCTTGAATTATAATCATCGTGGAATCGATCTTCTCCTCGTTCCTTATCTTCCTTGGCAGCTTCTCGTTCTAAATCGGACCAATCTTTGCCAGATTCTTCAGAAGAACCTAATTCCTCCTCTAAAAAACAAATGTCCCAAGTGAAAAAAAAGTAAATAATGAAAAAACAATACAAGCATCTTTATTCTATTTGTAACATTAAAATAAAATTTCTAAATATTACCTTCACTGACCGAATCTTCTGACGCTTCAGAGTACTCAGAATCATCATCAGATTCCTCTTCGCTGTCCATGTCAGATGGCTAGAAAGTAATACATTGCAACATATTGCTCTTATAACGAAAGAAAATTATATTTTTCATAGTTGTCTAAATAAATTCCACACCTCGTAAGCATCATCCTCTTCTTCTTCTTCATCATCGACATCTTCGTTCTCTGCATCACTTTCTGGATCCAAGAAACTCCATCCACCACTGTCAAAGAAACCTTCAGGATCGTCTGTAATCGTTTTCATAATTTTTGTCCAATTCAAAGATTGTACACCTTCCGTGTATCTGATGTCGCACGAACTAAAAAGAATATAATACATTTATATTCCGTTCTTTAGAAATTAATTGAATGGAGAAACAAAAGGCGCAATCAAGCTTACTTCAACCATTCTTTTACATGATCCAGCATGTTCATAGGTATGGCGTTTAACATCGCAACCTTCCTATGATAGTCTTTGAAGACAAAAATCATATCAAAATTCTTAAGGTGAAATTGTACTCTTTCAAAATGAACAAGTTCAACATCCTCCAAAGTGATAACGAACGGAGGCTGAAATATGGAGATAAACATTATTGTTAATATTCTTACATTAAAATTTAATATGAAGATAATTAGGGATAGAATGATGTTTACCCATTCTGTAAGATTAACCAAACATCCACTGGTGGGCTGCAGAAGAACAGTACTTCTGTATGGTGCACCAGGAAATCCTAGTTCTCGGAAAGGTGTATCAAATTCGATCTCCTGTTTCGTCATACTTTCAACCTAAAATAACGTTGATTATTTCTGAGACATTGATTGATTTTGCAAAATCGAACATAAAATATCAAATATTACCTTTTCGCAGAAGCTCTTGAACGCAGTTTTTAATTTGTGCCTAAGTTCTCGTTCCGATTGTTCAGCAGCAAGGTCGTCACGATCATGCATATGTTGATGCTTTCCTAAATCTGTCGTAATTTCACCAACTTCAGTATAGAACTGTACATCTACATGTTTCTTTTTACCAAACATTATTGCATGCTGAAAATGATTTATAAGTACTTAGTGATTGATTGTTAACAAAAGTGAATGAGAAAAATAAAAAAAGATATGTACTTTTAAATGAAAATGAAGCAATATGATCATTTCACCATCACATGGTTGGAAAAAGGCATTCTTAATGTTATTGTAAAGAATATCAACTTTATCTCCTCTAACCGAAGTATAACGGAATCCATTCACATGTGCTTCTAAGCCTCCTGTCATTCTTTTCGAAACAATATTCGGTCGAATGTATAAGTCTTTTAATTTTGGATTACCCTTATTTTGGGATAATATTAAAGTGTCTTGTTTTACAAGATCCTCCTTTTCCCTCTCTTCTGCTTCTCTATTTTTGAATTTCTTTTGAACTTCTTTGATCAGTCTGAAGGCTGTATTTAAATTAGAAGATGGTGCTGAAATTTCACCAGGCTCTTTGGTGTTTGTACTTCGATATGTTCTAAAAAAAAAAACACATGAATAAAAATTTCACTAATGTTTATACCAACACTGTTTATACTAACACTTCTTTAACAAATGTAGCATCGGGTTGTGGATAAGATCCACCTTCGTTTCGACCCATTGTGGCACCAGGGTGAAAAAAATTTATTCTGAGATACGTGTAATCTCCCTCTACTGACTGAGAAATGTAATGGGCAGTATTACAGTTTCATATTTTTTATCTGAAATACATATATGTAATGGAAGGTATCACAAATAATGTACAAAATTTATTTTTCAAACAAATGCAAGTTGCACTTACCAACGTATAATTTCAATTCTTTTACTTCCGGTTCCCGTGGCATATGACTCAGACTTTTGTACGATATTGTTGATTTCCGTATTTTTTCTTGTTCTTTCCCGCCAGATTGTTGAGCTAACCGAGCTTTTGCAACTTCGTTTAATTGTTGTGCAAGTTCTTTTTGATGTTGTTTTCTTTTTTCCTCCGAACTGTGTTCAGTTCTTAATTTGGATTCTATCACTGCTGTTCTTTTTCCACGATCAAGTATTCCAGGTTTAGGTTCATTTTCCTTTCCACTTCCTTCTTCTTCCTCTTCCTCATCATCTTTAACAAATATTCCAATGTTTTTCACTTTTTTCTTTGATGGTGTTAAATTTGTAGCGGGTTGTCCCTGAAATAAATGACTTCATTGCAATTTTCATATTTTAATGTATAAAGGAAAAGTTACAAGAATCTAAATACAACAAAAGTCAGTACCTCATTAACCATGACTGTATCACCAATGAAAAGAGCATAGACTTTTCCTCCTTTATCAGCAGCTTCCGAATTTGCTAGATTCGCCAAACCAACGTTCACATTAAATACCATGCCCTTCTTTATTACTGCATGAGTTTTTGGACCAATAAGTAAAGAACTTTCTCTGAATTCGATACCCATCGCAAATCCGAAGTTTTTAGTTAAATGATCTATCATTTCCGGTTTTTGATCTTTTACATATTTAACACCTGTTTCATATACTTCACTTATTTTCACTCCAGCCATCAATTTCTTCAGAATCTCTTCTTCTAATTGCAAAAGAAAGTTATAATTATCCTAAAATAAACGGATTTCATTAGAACGTATGTAATACATACCTACAATATATACCTATTATATAAAATTTACCTCAATCAGTTTAGTGGGATTCACTAACAATGTTCGAACTATATTGGAACAATAGGACTTGTAACGTGCTCCGAGGGAACAAACAATTACACCAAAATGCAAAATGTTTTTATCACTAACAACACTGAACTTCAAAGAATAGTTTCCACCACTTTGTATTATTGCAGGATAACACATATCTACTTGGGTAACATCAACACCAGTTACATACTTCTTATTTGTAATAGCCGCATCTACACCTTCAGCAAGCTTTGAATGCTTAACTTGCTAAAATACAAATTATTGTATGTTATAATCAATTTCCACATATATACATTTATGGGTTTATGCAAATTTTTATATCAATAAAAATTAAATACCTTATCAGAATCTATAATTTCCATAATTTGATCCTTAAGGTACTTTGTAAAAACGTCTACAGACACTAAACATGCTTTCTTTATGGTAAGAATTTCAGCATCCTCTTTTGGACACATTACATATGCAGCTGCAGCACTCACATCAACCTAATACAGTAATATATATTATAAAGTAATAATCATAATGTTTGATATTATACTATATTACAAAAAAAAAACAATTATATTGTACAGTATCAAAAGATTCTGATTTCAAAGCAGCTCTCCATGCATCCATAAAGGCACCTGGATAATTTTCTTTCGAAAAAACGCCCAATGTTTTACCCTTTTTACTTTGTTTTACAGTTTCAATGAGTTTGGCAAAATTGGCTTTATCCTCATCATTCTAAAAAGGAAGATCAACATAAACATTAACTGTCAACATAACTTAAACTGTCTGAACAAAATATAAATTATAAAGATACATACTCTATCTCTCACAAATAATTTCACAGGAGGCACTCCAGTCTCTTCCGTTTTCTGATTTTCAAGCTTCCTTAAAAATTCAATCTTTTTCTTACTAGCCAAGAAGCAAATAGATTCTTCAGATAAAATCATGATAGTATCTGTAAGTTCATAACTGAGGAGCCATGTCTAAAATAAAGTAACAATATTAATTTACTCCTCTACAAACTTAAATACTATAATATAACACTTAATATTATAACATAGAAAGTTACAATACTTCAGTTACATAATTAAAGTTTACTTTGACATTTACAATTTCCAACATGTTTTTAAGTTTTCCCACCATTAAAAATTGCGAATACAATGTACAGTTGCTCATAGAGGTATTTGAATGGTTATATCCTAAATTATAATTTATATAAAAACTAATATTTCCTTCATGTTTGCTTTGCTGATACATGGCTTTCTCTGTGGTACCCTTCCATGGAAGTCATTGTTCCAGAAAACTCTGTGAAATATTTTGTCTTTTCTGAAGCTATTAGCAAGCATTACAGGAAATTGATGAGCAAAAGAGCTTGGTTTGTCCTTTATTTGCTAGATATTTACTATTCTCTATGTAAAACCTATTTCTCACACAGGTATGTTCACACTCAAAGTTTTACCAATTCCATATATATAGTCAGATTTTTTCTAATTTTACCCACACATTTTCAAGGCTTGCATCTTACATTAATTGCAGTATTATTGTGGAAATTTGAGTGCAATGTGTGTATTTCATTGTTAATAGTTTAGGATGTAAACATTTGAATATTTTTATGAATAAGTGTACTTATAAAAGGTATAAAACTTCATGAAAATCAGCTGTTTGAACTCACAAAAATTAGGTTATCTAGTTGTTTTCAAATTTACAACAGAGAATGCAAGAAGAAAATTATTGAAATATAATAATATAAAAAATTTTTCTTACTTGTAACGCTGTGGATTTACTATAAACGATATCCTCGTCTGTGCCCACAGCAGACACGAGGCAATCCATTTTACTAAAACTGTCATCTGTACCAACTTCTCCATCCTGCTTAACAAAAACGGTTATTCGTATTTATTGAACGATTATACCTATACTTAACGACGAAATAAAACATTACGAATTCTTTACCTTCCATGCGGTGTAAAGACGCTTCATGCGCCGAAAGAATGTCTCTTTGTCAACGGATACGTTTGCCATAGCTTCTTGTTTTCAACTCTTTCAGCGTAGCACAACACGCGGTTGTATAAAATCAACTCGACATAAAATTATAACAAATCTTCCTAGAGTAAAGGATAACGAACTAAACATTCAGACGATAGAAAATTCCGTAATATTATCACATTTTCCTTGATATTCCTTATAAAACAAGTAATGCGATCAAAATTCGTCGTTCGATGCGGAGATGGCGGGATTTATAACCAAACCGTAACTGTAATCCACAAACTGCGGACCACGCGGCGGGAAAAATTTGATGTGGCGTAGTTCGCAGATAAAAGAAAACCTACAACGCTCCAAGTGGTTCAGTATTAAACTAACTTTAACATTACAATATTTACAATTTTGATGACTAGTTTTTGTAGTTGTAAATTATCATAGAGTTTGTATTTTAAATTGCCTTGTAAATAAATCTTACGAAACAATTAAAGGTTTGCCGAATATTTTGCATGAATTACATTTTTTTTAAATTATTCATTCATTACAATGTTAATTAAATTGTAATTGATTTTTTTTAACATTATGAGGTATAAAACTATACATACATTTTAGAAAACAAAAATAAACTACATTAATAATGCAGATTAAGAAGATTTTATTAATATTCAATATTGTATTAAATAAAAAGGATAAAACACTAATGTATAATTTTATTATTTTTGTTGCACATGCGTTACTATCCATAAATAATAAATATGGTGCCTATAAGAGAAAACGTTGATTATGGTATCTTAAGTTTGTTTACTCTATGACTAATATTAATCACGTACACATGTGTACAGTAAAATGCATATATGTATACGGTGTATTCTACTATCAGGGCGTCAAACAATATTACTGTAAATAAAACTTTCGTCTTTACGCTATAACACTGTCGAAAATAATTATTTTGAAATGACGATATAATTGATGATCTATGTATACGTATTCTCGCAACAATTATTGTAAAATTACAAGAAAACCATGACCATAATTCATTAACATCGTTGCTCGCTCGTGCCGATTTATTAGTGTTACCTTATATGTTACTGAGTGAGTGAAAGAAGTGCAGTTTTGTACTATTAAATGTGTTTTACTACAAACTGCAGCAAAATGATGCAGTGAATAATGCAAACTGGTTTTAATGCGGTCTACCTTGATGAAAATTATATTTTCAAACGTGAATGTAATAATATGTCGCTATAGAAAATAATGAAAAAGGCTCTGAGGAAGAAAAAATTCTTTAAAAAATTTCGATACAATTGGGAAGAATTATTTGTCTCTATGTTTTGATAAATTTTATCTGCCAAAATATTGACGAACGTTAGCGGTTTTTCGTCTGTCAAGTGTCTAAGAACACCTGTGAAAACCGTACTGGAGGTAGTGCAACGGATCATGAATGTAAGTGTAGATTTTACAATGCTCGTTTAATGCAATTGTGAGACAATCGCTTTCATGCATATAAATACCTGTTTGGTGCAGCATACTTAGAATATATATGTACTGATTAATACCCAAGTTATATTAATACCCAATATTTTCTTGCAAAAAGCTTTTAAGCTCGATGATTTCGAATATTTATTAATTATAATTTCGTTTGTGATTTAAAAAAAGTATATTTTAATAGACTAGTTTTTATAAAATTAAATTTACCCCAAATTATTACAATATAAATTGTTGTTCAATATTTGAATATTTTTGTATTTCAATGTAAAAATAATAAGTTAAACAAATTTATGTACAATTTAATTAATTTTGTAAAGAAAAATGATGTTTCAAAGCATATCTCTTGAGAGACTGATGTTAAAAAGTATTTAAATGTATTGGCATTTAATGAGCTCCTTTTGCTTCTTTTATGTAAACTATTTTCAGAATGCCCTGTTCTACATTATTCTGGCACGTAGTAGACATAAACTTGCTTATGTAACTGACGTTAGATTATTGACCCAATGAATTTATTTTCAATGACAACTTCTGAATGTAATTACTTTTAATAGTGCTTTATGCTTAATCAGTCTGTGAGCTTGCATGGGACTGATTTATTCAATATGATCATTTATCAAAATTGACAACATGGTTGTTGACATAACCTTATAGTACATTAACCAAATCAGTGTTTTTCCTACTTTTTTAATGATGTGCCCTGATGCTTAAAACATGGATGAATTTTTGCATGGATAAAAAAAATGTATTATTGCTTTCTAAAATTTATAAAGTACATAAAATTATTAAATAATTAATATCAGATTGTAGATCTACATAGTTATAATATGCCTATTTAATTTACTTATACATAAAAATTATTTATTTATGGTTAATATGGCTTTTTTTATTTTTTTTTTTTTTTTTTTTTTTTCTTATGTAATTCTTCATTTAGGTGGCCAGCATAGCAGAGAGGTGGTGTCGGGAAGGTGGTTGACACGCCTTCGTATTTTTGAGATGATTGAAAGTGTATCACGCAGAGCGTTGAGTGGCTCCAGTGGGAGCTACCACGTTCGTGGAGCTGAATTAGCAAGAAATTGTAGATTGAAATCTCTATCTGCTACTGTTGTTTTCCTTGATGACACCCAACATACATTTCAGTTAGATGTAAGTTCATGTGATGATTATTTTAAACAAAAACATATGATACATCAACTGTAAGTGAATATTTACAAATGTTTCAGAAAAGAGCAAAAGGTCAAACATTATTAGATTTAGTATTCCAACATTTAGAACTTGTTGAAAAAGATTATTTTGGTTTGCAATATGCTGAAAATGGAGCTACAACATGTACATATTCACCAGATATAATGGTAAAGTTTTATATTGAATTTATTAAAATCTATAAAATGTATATTTTATTAATTGTATAAGATTACAATTGTATTTATGTTTTAGAGGTGGTTAGATCCTAGTAAACCAGTAAAAAAGCAGATAAGAAGTAAGGGTAAAGATCCTATTTAAATGCTTGTTCAGATTACTAAACACAAAGAGATGAAAGATGATTTAAAATACTGTTATATCATTTTAGGTGGACAATTCTATTTTAGAGTAAAGTTTTATGTATCTGACCCTAGTAAATTACAAGAAGAATATACTAGATATCAATTTTATTTACAAATACGAAGAGATATTCTTCAGGGAAAACTTCAGTTACCACCAAGTACAGCATGTCTTATTGCCAGCTATACTGTTCAGTGTGAGAACTGTGATATATTAATATTTGTTTTATTCTAAAACTTATTTGTAATATTATATTTTGATATAACTACAGCTGAACTAGGTGATTACCATCCTGAGGAACATGGGCCTGGATATCTGTCTAGATTACAATTGATACCAGGTCAGACTGAAGAAATGGAAAAGAAGATAGCTGAATTACATAAACTTCATAAGTAAGTTCAAGTTCTATATATAACATTAATAATGTATAATGTATAAAACATTCCATAATATTCATATTCTATTTTAGAGGTCAATTACCAGCAGATGCAGAATTCAATTTCTTAGATCATGTAAAAAGATTGGATATGTATGGAGTAGAATTACATAAAGCTAGAGTATATACTTATCTTACAAACCCTTTTAAAAATACTGCATATTTTTTATTCATTTTAACTTTTTAAATTTTTCTGTTTTCAGGATTCAACGAATAAAGAAATACAGTTAGGTGTAACGTCGATAGGTTTAGTAGTATTTCAAAATGGAATAAAAATCAATGTGTTCTCGTGGTCAAAAATAGTTAAAATATCATTTAAACGGAAACAATTTTTCATTCAACTTAGGAGGGAACAAGTACTACAAACATTTCCTTTGCAATTTAAAAGTATAGTTCATATTTTATAACGTAATACATAAACAATTTTGTTACAGTCAGAAAATTACGATACATTACTGGGTTTTAACATGCAAACATATCGCAGCTCAAAAAATTTGTGGAAAGCATGTGTAGAGCATCATACATTTTTCAGACTTCACAGTCCTAAAACAAGGCCGAGACGTTTTCCACTTACTTTAAGTAGTAGATTTACGTATTCAGGGCGTACCGAATTTCAAACAGTTGAAGATGGAAAACATAGAGCAAGAGTAGAGAGAACATTCATACGGTAATATTAATCCATTCAACATTAGTAATCTAAAAATATTAATTTATTAATTTTAATATAATAACTTAAATTATTTAGATCCCCTAGTAAGAGATTAGTACATGGAGTTACATCAGTTCCAATTATTGAAGAGAAAGGAAAACTATCTATGCCTCCTGGAAGACCCCCTAGACCATATGATAATAAAGTTCAATCTCTTGGTGCTCGTGAACCTCGTCAAGCATGGGGTGAAGGGAACCCTAGCGATGAGTTAGTTGGAAATAACTTAATGCATGTTGACTTTTATATACATATAATAATAATTTTTAATATTTGACTGTTCCACAGCGAAGGTGGTTTTTTATCTCTCCGAGAAGAAATAACAAGTTCACATACTCAAGGCAACGCATTTTCTCCTGTATTAGGTTCTAGAGTTTTAAGTTATGCTGATGATGATACAACTGTAGAAAGAAACATTTATGATCTCCCTGATTATAGTGAACCTACAAGTTCACCTGCTCCCCAAGTATTTACTTTTAATGTTTTTAATTGCATTAAATCGTTATTACTTTTTACGTGTATGATATAAGTATGAGTATTTGCAGATAGTAGAAGATGGATTAGTTACAATTTCTTTAACGCCAGATGAACAAGGCCGATTTGGATTTAATGTAAAAGGTGGTTTAGATCTTGATATGCCTATTATAGTATCGAGGGTAGCTCCAAACACGCCCGCTGATCGTTGCTATCCGAAATTAAACGAAGGAGACCAGGTATGTTTCATGTTGTTATATATTAATAGAGTTACAATGAATTTATTTGGACTAATTTTTAAAAATTACTTAACGTGAATGTATTAAACAAATAGGTAGTGTATATAAATGGAATTGATGTAAGTGGCTTATTACATGAACATGTAGTAAATCTAATTCGTCAGTCCCGCGATTCGGGTTCCGGTGAACTGACATTAACTGTTAGACCAAATGCTTTGTATAATTTACTAGTTGGTACTGATGAAACGTCTGAAGAAGAACCTCCGTATAGGTATTTCATTTAATTATAAAAATATATAGTAGTTAACGTATTGGTAACATTAACGTTAATCGGATTAATACTGATTCTTTTGAAATAACAAGGTACGTACCGGATGCACCTCATGCAGCCATTGGGTCAGACGCATTGGCACAATCGATGCTACTTCTTGCTGATGGTTTGGCAAGCGGTGCTTTAATTGCACAATATGAACAGTTATATAGAAAAAATCCGGAACTTACTTCTCTCGAATCCAAGAAGCCTGAAAATCAAAGTAAAAATCGGTACCGAGATATTTCACCATGTAAGCTTAAAGAAAAGTCCAAAAATTTAAATTTCACATAAATAATAATTTAAAAGATAAATAAAAGAGATTATACAATTAAAAAATTATGCAATTTATAGATGATGTTACTCGGGTTATACTTATGGGTTCTGCAAGCGGAGATTATATCAATGCTAATTATGTGAACATGGAAATACCAGGATCGGGTATTATTAACAGATACATTGCTACTCAAGGACCTTTATCTTCAACGGTTGCTGATTTCTGGCAGATGGTTCTAGAAGCAGGCAGTACTCTTGTCGTGATGCTCACAACTTTGGTCGAACGTGGTCGAGCAAAATGTCATCAGTATTGGCCTGCATTAAATGAAACTCTTACGTTACGAAATCTTACACTCACATCTACAGCTGAAAATGTTGAAGATACTTTTACATTTCGGGAATTCATACTGCGTGACATTAATGTAAGCAAACCCAACGATACATCTTTTTAAATATTGGATTCTAAGCATTTATTACTTCTATACTTTTCAGACTGGAGAAGAAAGAGACATAACGCATATGCAATATTGTAGCTGGCCAGATCATGGAGTTCCCAGTGATTGGCGGCAATTCACTATGTTTACTGAAAGAGTACGAGCAGCTCGAACCGGTATAGTCGAACCTGCTGTCGTTCATTGTTCTGCTGGAATAGGTAGAACAGGTGTCTTAGTGCTAATGGAAACAGCGTTGTGTCTTATTGAAGCAAATCAACCAGTATATCCATTAGATATTGTGCGATCTATGAGAGATCAAAGAGCAATGATGATACAAAATGCTGTAAGTAAAAATTTATAAACAGTATTAAATTATGACTTAAATAAAATATGTCATGCCTAATAAAAAAACATTTTGTTTATAGAGTCAGTATAGATTTGTGTGTGAGGCGGTCCACAAAGCTTATAGCGAAGGAATAGCTAAACCACTTCCTGAATTCAGCAGGTGAAAATAATATAAACTTGGAAAACATTGTAATTACCATTCTTCTGACATTTTACTGAAACATCACATCATTAGATGATAATTTTATACTTTGACAATAATATATACATATATTATTGATTAATGGGAGAGATATATACTATTTAAAATAGGTATTTTCTATCTCTTTGCAAATATATTTTTCATCTAGGGATTTAATTAATAGAAAGATATAACTTTTCACGCCTTTGAGCTTATCCCCTTTTAATTTATACGTGAGTGCTTGTAAATAATGAAATTTCGATAAAATAAGTTTGCTAATTTATGTTTAAGCTAAAAGTAAAAATCTCAAAGTAATTCTAGGCGATAGTACTAATATATTCTTAAACGATGAATATCAAATTTTTTCGTTAGGTGCGGTTATTACTTCGTTTAACTTTACAGGGTTCAATTCTTTAATTATTGCTCATAACAGAGTAATAGCAGCACAAATATAATCTTTATATGAAATTAACACACCGCCTTAAAAATCTATAAATGTTAATTGGTATATTAGCAAGAAATTTAAAAGTACATGGGGTGCCAATATAAAGATATTGCCTTGAAAAAAGCCATAATGAAACATTACAAAATATAAACTAGCATAAAACTAAGAAGGATCGAATCTATAGTCAATCTATTTAAGTAAGCTACAGAATGTGATTGTATACAGTGAAGTTGCAAAAGAATTTTCAAGTTTTTAAGTATTTTGAACAGTTTTGAAGTAAGAATATCACACGTAAACTATACTTACTCGTAATCATTTGTCAGCAAAGAAACGTTCGATTTCCTATCAACATTCATTTATTTAATAACACCGAAAGTAATACGTATTCAAATGTGCAAAACAAAATTTTAACTTTTGACGAATCGTCCCTACTTTAATCTTTAATTAGAAATAGTAATCTTCTCACAACAGTTGTAGTAACTTCTAGTACCGTTTATACAATGTACAGATTAGTTTTTATTTAAAAGAACAGCGCATGCCACTTAAAATATCAAAACCTACACTCGTTTCATAAGAAAAGTACAATTTCAAATTTGCACGATAAAGAATACAATAGTATCCTAATGTTAAATGAAGTTATCTTAAAAATAAAACTAATATAAATTGAGAACTACTAAAAGTTTAATGTTCTCGTTTTAGTAACCTATTTAACATATTTCGATGTAAAGCAAAGAAAAAGTGATACATTGAAAAATACTTCGTCCTAAAAACAATCTCATTCAGAATCTTTAATATTTTTTGAATTTTCAAACAATGTTAACTGAACGCACTATTATAACTGTATCATGTGTTCTACTCTCCGCCCATTTTTACAATGTTAAAATATTTTTATGTTTTGTATATATAACGTACATTATTGAAATTATTTTTTACGCACAATGACCTAAATAAATTTACATAATGATCTATGAATCAACAACATAAAGATCCATTATTGCATACACAACACAATTGTGTGTATAATTATATATTCTTACTCACACAAAAGAAACAAGATTATAAAAATCAAAAGTTTTACTTGCAACATTTTTTACCCTTGGTATAAAGTATTTGTATAAACTTGAAATAGATTGAATTTAGTAATGCAAAGCATACATTATTTATGTATATAACAAAGCATTGAATTGAAAACAGAATACCATATAATATGTATACTGTACGCAATTGCAGTGTCAATTTTGTTTTAACATAACTTTCTACTAAACATCGATAAATCACCTGTGATTAGAGTGAACTAGTAATTATAGTTGAAATATATGTTCTCTTTATATTTTTCTTTTTTCATTTTTCTGATTTATACAATAATTTTATTAAATGAGGCTAAAAATATAGAAAAATTAGCTTAAAACTTATCATTGTTTGGTAAGCAAGACTGAATTGCAAAAGGTCGTTACTTTATTGTTGAATGCTTCTGGTAATAAACAATTAAAAATTGGGTGAATCTGTTAGGCATATCATAACAGTAAGCACAACAGTAAAAGCACAATGTCATTTAAATATTTTCTGTGTTATTAATAATATTTTATAAAATAATGACAATAGTGCCTTGTATGCATGCATCCAAATCATTATATCAAAAGAAGAATGGATATTCTTACTGACTATTATATTATAACAGTTTCACTCGATGCAGTTTTCTTTTTAATTTCGTTTTAAATTAATAATATTGTTTTTTTTAACGTGTATATTTTTTGTATAATTGTCCATAATTTTTTTTTATAATTTATCTTGAACAATTATGTAAATATATTTACGTTTTATTCAATTCCTGTTTCATAAATCATGATTTCATATAAATTACTATTTATTTATAATTATTATATTAATAAGATGATATTACATTAAGATGATTATAGCAATACAAAATATCGTATATAAATGTCCAATTATAAACATTAAGAGTAAATTGATCAAACATTTTTGTTAAAAAGTTATAATATCTTTATACTACAAAATACTGTATACATTTCGAAGAATATGAAAATGTGTAAGGCAAAATTGTATAAATTTCTTAGAAAAAATATTTTGAAAGAATTGAGATGTAATATTTTAGAATTAGTTTTTACTAAATAGATACAAAGTACAGTAATAATGTCTACAAATAAGAAATCCTGATGCGGTTTTTCACGTTTCTTGTGATTTAGACATGAAATGTTAATAACACACATTTTATAAAAATAATTACTGTATTTACGTTGCATTTTCGGTGAATATTTACGCGAATATTGTTTAGTATTCACTTGATATAATTGATTGAATAGTACAAAGAATATTAAATAGCTAATTACAATACTTTGAAGCTACATTCGTTGAAATTTAACTGCGTATGTGCCAAACCATAACACATCAAGCAAATACTGATTATAAATAAAGTGCCACAAATTTTCATAATCCAGTCAGTAGTTGTCTAGTCTGATTACTAATTTGTACTTTTAAAATATAAAATAAAAACACTTTGTAATATTTCACCATTTAATGACTTTCCTTGTTTCAATCTTTTTTTTCATTTTGTATTTTTGAAAGAATTTCGTAATTTGTAACATCGACTTTAGCGTTAATGATCTTTGTACATTCGGTATAACTTCTTACATAATAGTCATAACAGTATTCACATATATCACAATTAGTGCGCATAAACTAATAGTTATAAATTGTGCTTACAATAATTGTACAACGTATTGTTAAAATCTCTTTTTATACAAAATTATAGTTTATATTAAAATTAATTTTGTTATTGAAGTGGTTGAAGTTGAAGTTTGCAATATGATTTACAAGTTAAGAAGAAATGCCCTTCTTGTCCAGGGATATATGTTGATGGAATAATATGGTATGTACCTGCTGGTACATCCTCTAATTCAAGATAAACGAACCCTGACCTATAATGCATTAAATCATTAATAAATATAATTATGTATAATATATTATTATATAATACCTGAATGGCGCGGAACTTTTCATTTTGAATGCACTAGGTGCATCAGGATCATTTAGTACAACTGAAAGGACATTAAATCCTATTTGATATTGTTTAGGACCCTTCAATATAACCAGCAAATAATTATTATTACTTGAACTTTCTAAAACCAATTGGTAATGAGGATTATTTTGGTAAGTGGGATGATTAAAACACCCACCAGCTGTAATATCTTTCCACTGACCAGTAACCTAAACACATTCTTATTGTAGTATACAATTAAGTTTTACATACATTTACATAAAAAATAACAAGGATATACCGTTTTTTCATATTTATAAAAATTTGGTATCTTTCTTAATGAAAATTCGCAGGATCCATACGCACGTAAGGTATAGTATATTGTTTCCGTTTTTTCGTATTGCGATATGACTAGAGTATACCGGCTATCACTTTGAGCATCTAACTTTATTTTACAGAGGTAGTGTGGTGTATTTATTTTGACACCATTGATATATGGTGGCGGATCATCTATATAATTAAAAATTTACAACTATATTTAAAAGAAATATAGAAAATTATTATAATTAAAGTTATTTCACTTACGTGGATAATATACTCTTTTTCCATCGTTTCGATACACTAATATTGTTATAAATTTTTGGTTCTGTCTAAAATCTACTATGTCCGTAATATGCCTCGTAAGAAGAATCCATATTGCTCCGCTAACGTTATTTTTTACCTCTAGTGAAAATTGAGGATTATCACCTATATTATATGCGTCTTTCATTGGTCCCATTCCTGCATTCCACATTCTACAATAACATATTATCATAAGACATTACATTTATAACGATCTTTAACTAAATAAAATTATTTGTTACTTACTGATGAATGCAATAAGTATAGCTAAACAACCCAGGGTTCCAATTCAAGTAAAAAACACAAAAAAAACGGCATATACTATCGTAATCGATCCAGAAAACCCCATTATCAAATTGAGATGCAGAATCTGGATCATAATTTAATGCTTCTCTTAATTCATTCGTCCAATGTATTGCATCAAGTTCGGAATAATTTCCTTTCCAACGGAATTGCGACCACGGATTTTTAAGCTGTAATAGTCTTTCTCCCTATAATAACATATCTACATTTACAAAGCTCTTGCTTTTTTTTTATAACATCTTTTAAACATTTAAAAAATAAATTGATTACATTTATTTTTCTAACGTCATGAACTGCATAGGCATGAGTGGATGTAAGGCCTGTTCTCTGTGATTCTGCATCGGATAATTCTCCGGTGGCAACTGTTACTAACACATCACCTTTATGTAAACGCGTTAACAAAATATTAAATAGGTCGTCCTTGTTGAAATCAGGTTCATCCGATTTAATGGGCCATCTTTCTGGTATCCATCCAGTTAAAGCATGCAAATCTATATTCTAAAAAATAATATTTCATTGTTAAAAACTTTTTGTATTCTGCGATTAGTATTTTTTATGATACAAAAATAAACTTACGCTATTTGAGCCAGGAAAATCATAGCCACCCATTACTTTCATATATGCCTTCTCGAGTAAAGAAATCCACAACTCTCCGTGAGTGCTAGAGTAGGAACAAAGTAATTGGTTGGTTCTGCTTACAGGCAATAAATCATCTATTATAACTTTGCGTGGAACACCGTTAATGTGTAATTTCACCATATACTTTCCTAATATAAAATATTTACAATTTGAAGTTTTATTGAAATAAAAATCTTAGAAAGTAACAAACTGCTGATCCTTCTTGTACCTTTTAGTAATAATGAATGCAATAATAAGTGAAACCTTACCAAATGGATTATAAATTGGTTCTTTGTTTCTATTTTTTGGATAAATAATAGATGTAATAAGTCTCTGTCCAAATTTTTTTTCATATTGAGCACTAACTGCAAGAGAAGCAACAAAAGAGCAATCAGAAATGACCTAAAATTAAACATGTCATTAAATTCTAGTACAGTAAAAATAATTAATACAAAAAATTAATGCTATTTTTACTAACAGTCTGTTTTATACTGTAGTAATCAACATGGTGCATTTTAACCATTTTTGGATCTGAGAATAATTCTTCTGGTCGACACCATCTTCCAAAGTCTATCTTTTGTTTTGGTGCTAATTTTAGCAAACCATCTTTGTCAGTAAATGGAATAGCATATTGAAATTTTTCTCTAAGATCAATGCGCATAAAAGGTACAAATTCATGATCATTGATGTGGGATGTGAGAAGCAAAACCCTTTTCTCTTCCTCTGTATAGTTAGCACTACCACCACTTACTTTTAAGTATGCACTACTTCCATGATAAAGTGATGACTGAGGTTGTTTACCTAAACATTAAGAGTGAATGAAAAGAATCTTCCACTGGAATAAAGTCAACAAGATAATGATTACCTGCATTAGAAGAATCTACAGTAGTTGTTATAGGTGATTCTTCTACATCTTCATCCAGATTTGTTTCTGGTACAACAGGTAACTTAGAAATAACATCATTATCTTCTATTGTTTTTAAACCTTTCAATGACTCTGCTCTGTCAAGAGCAAGTCTTATAATATCTGTTAATCTTGCTTTTAACTCTACATCAGTAGTTTTCTACAATTAAAATGAAATAACTTTTAAGATTTAATGTTTAAAGTTTGATATTCAAAATATTATCCTATATACCACACTTAGTCCTAATTCAGCAGCATCTGTGTATAGTTTGACAGCAATATCTTTTAAACCAGCCTCATCTGCATCTTGTGCTTGATTCATAAGAAATTTACATCTTTGTAACTTAGACTGATGTGTAGTTTGTGCTATATGATGTTTTTGTTCTTCTTCATTAACTATAACATATCAGTAGTTTATATACTATTAAATTTTTTTATCTGTATAATTTTTATCCCTTCCTTCTATCTACCACTGGCTAATTTATAATACTCACTGAGAGCCTGAATTGTTGATATTCTCTCCTGATACTCTGAAAGCTTCTGATCATATATAGGATCTTGTAACTTTGCAAGATATTGCACAGCTACATTATAATAATACAAAGCTTGTTTATATTGATTATTGCTATCAAATTGCACTGCCTTTCGAGCAGCATTCTGCACATCTTCTAATGTCATTTTGTAGAGTCTTATTATTAAAATTATATACCAATTTTTACTTTTTCCACCATTCACAGATAAATAAATACTTTCATACCAATTTTATTGGATTACATATCCAATCTGTCATTGTATTCATCTAATGTAATTAGTTTCGTAAACTAATATTTCTTCCTTGCAAATATTTATATTTTTAATCATAATATACTACACAATATATTACCACTTACAATATTAACAAGTGTATAAATGTTACTAAATTATAATAAACGATTATAATCTTTAAATTGTTGAACAAATTTCATAATTATTAATTTTATTTTGAAAGTAAACATTGCAGCAGGTTACACGTCAGTTTATGTAGTATTATATTGTTCGGTAAAGCAAACTTCAGGCTACTGACGTCATCGCCCGACCAAATAAACGTAAGACAGGCGGTCAGACCATCTCCACTACTCTTGTAGTGCAGTATAGATAAATGGTTTACGTATATGATTTTTAATCAGCTGTCGATAACGTAGAACGTTGATAGAAGAACAAAAAACTAAAGATTACAATTGCCCTGTCCTCTTAAATATTTAGCAATACAGAAATGAGTAAGACAAGAAAAGGAATACAGGTAGACACGGATAGCACTAAAGAAACAAGTTAGGCAAGGAAAGAAATAGCGTTAGACAAGGATAGCATTAGAGAAACGAGTTAGACAAAATAAGGAATAGCTGCAGACAAAGATAGAAAATTTTCAAAATGAAACTAACGCCATCTTGTGTTTGGTGACGAGAATTACAATTTTTGAACAGGAACACAGCATGTAAATAGAGGTATTAGACAAGGAAAGCACTAGTGTTCCAGAAGGACAGAGAGAGAACGTTTCCTATTGGTCCGCGGACCGCCATGGAGTTAGCCTGCAGATGCATGCAGGTAGTTGTATGAGAATTTAGTACAAAGCTATGAAATTATGGAAAAACCATGAAGGTTTGCTGTATCGTTCTTGACATCACATAATAAAGTTGTTAATAACTAATTATTGAAAGGGTCTAGTACAGTAAAATCTATATGAGAAAGTTGCTAAGAGTCCACACTACATTCTTCAATTCTAAAAGTTCACGAAATCATCGTAATTATTGAGTTATTAATGATTTTTCCCTGGCCGACTCTATTTAGGGCCTGATAGATGGAGCATGGCGGTCCGCGGACCAATAGGAAACGTTCTCTCTCTATCCTTCTCGCACACTAGTGCTTTCCTTGTCTAATACCTCTGTTTATATTCTGTATTCCTATTGAAAAGTCGTAGTTCGCGTCACCTGACGCGAGATGGCATTAGTTTCACTTTTCAAATTTTCTGTCCTTGTCTAACTCGTTTCTCTAATGCTATCCTTGTCTAACCCTATTTCTTTCCTTGCTTAACTCATTTCTTTAGTGCTATTCTTATCTTCCTCTATTTCTTTTCTTGTCTAACTTGTTTTTCTAGTACTATCCGTGTCTACCCGTATTCTTTTTCTTGTCTTACTCATTTCTGTTTTGCTAAATATCTAAGAGGACAGGGCGATTAAAATAATCTTTAGTTTCTTATTCTTTTATCAACGTTTTACATTATCGACAGTTGATTAAAAATCATTTATCTAAACCATTTATTTACACTGCAGCTTCCTTCCAAGCGGCGGCAGTGTAAGACCGAAGAGTAGTGGGGATAGCCTAACCGCCTATTTTTCGCTTATTTGGTCAGACAATGACGTCAGAAGTCTGAAGTTTGCTTTGCCGGACAATAGAACTACGTCTGGCAGTCAGATGCATAAGACCAGTATAGGCAGCAGCCCATTATTTTTATCTTTTATATTTTTATAATAGATTATCAATAGATTTACTATTACTGCGAAGAGTCATTGTCAAAATAATGCCAATAATTTAAAATATATTAGCAATTAAATTAAAAAGATAATTAAAACCAACATTTATTAAAAACAATGAAACACTTATGTCATTCCTAAGAACAATAATATGGAGATTAATGATGCATAAAACACTAATAAAATTATATCGTGTTTCAAAAGTCTTAAGGGTTTTTATACATTTCGAAAATTCTCTGGATATCCATAAGTTCAGGGAGTTCCTAGAACTTTCACAAGTTTTAGGGATTTTTCGAGGTGTCTGACATTTTGATGATCTACTTCCAAAGGTTGTGTAGGCATCAAAGCGTTTCTGTCTTGAAAGGTTTTCAAGGTTTCAGATTGATCTGAATGTTTCAAGAATCTCCGAATTTTAGATCTTCTAAGCTCACAAACTCTTCGATATCTCTAAACCTTCAAGACTCTTAGAACTCCCTATGGAATCTTTCAAAACCCCCTATATTCACCTGAAAAATGTTCTGAATCAAATCTTCATAAGCTCAAGGTTGTTCATGTTGCGTACCAAAAGTTTTAATGGCTTACGGATTTTTTCAGGCTTTATAGATTAAAATACTACGAACATTATTTCTATTTTATTGAAATTTATGAATTAATTTATATGTTCCATATTTATTCATAATGACCTGAATGTTTTCTTTGTTAATATTTTACATAGATTATTTTACAAAATCAATTTTTAGAGTAAGTAATTTCTAAATCATCAATTAAGTTCATTTTGAGTACTGAGCTTTATATCTACTTCTTTTTTATATAGCTTAATACACATGCATGTATGTCGCAGTGCATTAAGTATCTGTATTGACTTACGCGGCAGAGTAGAAAAACACAAATCCAAAATATGGCAAGTTCGTCAAGGTAAATTTTTGTAAAAATTTGGTATATCGTTTTTCCACTGACACCAGTAACATTTATCGTAATGTTTTGTTTTACAAGTTATTGTTATTTCAGATCGAATTCGGGTGATTTAGAAATGACATAATGTTTATAAACTATGGTTATGAAATCTGACAGTAACATTGTTTGTTTATTCCTGACATGATCTTGATTAATTATTTTTAGGAATATAGTAAGACATTTTATAAATTTTATACTTAAATGTAATTTATTCTCGCAGTAAGGAATCCAGTTTGTTTTATTTTTGTTTTAACGATTCTACACGAGTCCGTATTGAAAGAAAATAGAACAATTTCATTTTCTTTCTTTTTTCTTTTTTGAAGTAGTCAATAACAAACAATTAAAGGTTATTATTAATATAATTATTGGCATAATAGTAATGAAAATATTTGTTCAATATGCATGTATACATTAATATGTGATATACATTATCTTAGTTCCTTTTTACAGACATGAAACGAACAAAGTTTGTTGTTATGCACACCCAGATGCACCTCTCATTGAAGACTATCGAGCTGGAGATCAGATTTGTTCAGAATGTGGATTAGTTGTGGGAGATAGGTAAATATGTAAATATATATATATATGATTTAGAACTAATGTAACTGTAAATTCCAATTAACCTTACTTTCCTTTTCTCTCCTTTTTTTTAATAGGGTAATAGATGTTGGTTCAGAATGGAGAACATTCAGTAATGAGAAAGCTGGAGTTGATCCATCCCGTGTTGGTGGACCAGAAAATCCTCTTCTTAATGGTTCAGATTTATCTACAATGATTGGTCCTGGAACTGGTGCAGCATCATTTGATGCTTTTGGTGCTTCAAAATATCAAAATAGACGTACAGTTAGTATCTTCATACTGTGTTATTCATAGTATTTTTTGCTCTTTTTTGTTAATTAATTATATTGTAGATGAGCAGTTCTGATAGAGCATTGATCAATGCATTTCGTGAAATTAATGGAATGGCTGACCGTATTAATTTGCCTAAAACCATAGTTGACAGAGCAAATAATTTGTTTAAACAAGTACATGATGGTAAAAATTTAAAAGGCAGAGCAAATGATGCCATTGCTTCAGCCTGTTTGTATATTGCCTGCAGACAGGAAGGTGTACCACGTACTTTCAAAGAAATTTGTGCAGTCAGCAAGATTAGCAAAAAAGAAATAGGAAGATGTTTCAAATTGATCTTAAAAGCACTTGAAACCAGTGTGGACCTTATTACTACAGGAGACTTCATGTCTAGGTTTTGTTCTAATCTTGGACTTCCTAATATGGTACAAAGGGCTGCTACACACATTGCAAGAAAGGCAGTAGAAATTGATATTGTACCTGGAAGATCACCTATTTCAGTGGCAGCTGCTGCCATATACATGGCATCACAGGTATTTGTTGTAATTAGAGCAAATGTTATGAATATTGTATTCTTATAATTCTTACACATTATATTATTGTTCAGGCTTCAGAAGATAAAAGGTCACAAAAGGAAATCGGTGACATTGCTGGTGTAGCAGATGTTACAATCAGACAGTCTTATAAGTTAATGTATCCTCATGCAGGAAAACTATTTCCAGAAGATTTCAGATTTGCAACACCAATTGATCAGTTACCACAAATGTAAACTTAACATGGAGCCTTATGTTTTTATGTATATTTTATCATGTTGAAACAATAGTTATGTACCTTAAATAATCATCTCTAAATAACTTAACCTTTCTTTACAGTATACATTCCTAAATATTCTATAAAACATTGGTATTATCTAATTTATTATGCACTGACTGTCTTTTTTTTTTCTGTTATACTTTGTTCCTATGATGTTGGTATGTACAACAGTAGTATCTTGATAATTTATCTGGTGTGGATGATTAATTTTGTTTCATCAAATGCACTGTTCATTTAGTATATTAGTAGGGCAAAAAAGTAAAATATTTTATTATAATTGGCATGTTTCAACATGTTAAAATCGGAAGAACGCGATAAAATTGTTATAAGATTTATATTTGATACCAAAAAATGTATTGACTTCCAAGCTTTATGTAAACAAGCTTACAAATTAAGTTTATATTAAAAATTTATTAACAGTAATTTTATTTAAAGCGCTGCAGCACAATAATTTACAGTTAATATTCAACAAAAGCTTACAAAATCTAAATATAAAATATAAAGAGCATTAATTTAAAAGTACCACACAATGCAATTATATGAAAAATTCTGTGATACTTTTACTAAATAACATAAGTCTAAAATTCGCGATTAGTAGATTTGATTAAAAGTCGAAAAATAGATTTTCTCACAGTAAACACATGTACATATTTTATTTTTCATTCAAAACACATAAAATATTAAATCTGAATATCCAGAAAAATGAAGTTATATTTTTTTCAAAAAATAATAACAGTAAAAGATATTATTTTTTCATGTTTACGTTTTATAACGAAAAATTAATAATTTTTAAACATGAAAAATTCAAAAACACAAAAATTTATATTGTATTATATAATAAATGTAAAACATGCACACATATCTTAATTTTTATGGCAATAAAAAGAATTGTTATGATTATTAAAACGAATCGTTTTATTAATACCTTTAGTATTATAATATACGATTTAAAATTGCGTATGTGTTTGTCAGCTGTCATCGTATCTAATGTCAATTTTAATGCATACGTCATATTGAAAACGGCAATAATTAACCTTTATAATACGAATAATAATTATTTTATACTCTCGTAATTATTTTTGATAAGTATCTTCAAAAGTGACTTGAAACATCGGGAATTTACGTAGAGTGTGAGATGATATAACCTACGTAACGTTCAATACTAAATGTATAAATTTTATTAACACAAAAGAATAAAATTTAATGCAAAAGTTTCATATTCTACTTTGTTTTGTACTATCGAAAATAATATACAATGAATTCAATACCTCCTACTAAACCTCCAAGAGGTATTAAACCGACTAAAGAAACAGTAAGTTTGACTAATTTATTTTCGTTCGTTTATTTGATCATTTTAATGAAATAACTTGAAAATTTGCAGCAATTAATTTGCCTTATTGTTGATAAATACTTTTTGTAGAGTGGTTTATTGATTTCTGTGATTCGTGCCCTGTCAGCAAGTGAAACTAATGAACAAAGAGAAATAGAAAAAGCTAAACTTGAAAAGGAATATAAGAAAAGTGATCAAAGGCTTGATGAATTGGTATCGTTACATGATCAAGATCTTGCAGAAGTTATGCAAGTAAATATATGCTTTCATATAATTTAAAACAAAATTATATAATACATGGTATTAATAATGTTTTCATTGTTGCCTATTATAGATATTTAGTGCTTTATCAGAAAAAGTAACAGCATCTCGCGAGAAAATTCATGCAGTCAAAGAAAATTTAAATGCCTGTAAACAATTGTTGAGGTGTAAGCGAGAAGAATTGTTAAATTTGTGGCTTGAAGGTATTGAACATAAACATGTATTACATCTTTTAAAAGATGTGTAAGTATCAATACAGTCTCTAATGGAAGAGAATTTTTATTAAATGTAATTATAAAAGAAAAATTATTAAATGTAACTTCTGAAGTTGCTGTATTTTTAAAACTTTTAGGACTGCTGATTCCTGCACTAGAATGTTACCCTTAGCAGATACAGATGCATTATCAGTATCTACATCGTATAATACAGCATCAGACTGATAATCATTGAACTTATTCATAGATAGCTATAAATAAATTGTAATCTAATTATTTTGTATTTATAAGAAAAAACGAAATATAAAATGTAATAAATTTGAATTACAAATTTTTTTTACCATATTGAATAGTAATTTTAATTCACTTCATTTTAATTTTTAATGATAAAGTCATGCCTTGGTTATAACTTATAATTAAATTCCAGTTTCCAGTAATTCTATACCTCCCCGCCAATGCGTACATTTTAGAAACGTTTGAATTACTAATTATTTTTTGAATGATTACCAAGGATGCTTTATTCATTTGATAAATAGCGATTTAAATATTCTACACTGAAATATTTCAAAAACGATATGTTTCGAATATGCAGTAACCGTATTTTAAATATTTATTGTCTATTCGGTCAGAAAGTGTTTCATGGTTATATGGTGCACGTGACATTTTACTCGTATTTTGTTTATTTGCATGCATGTTCTATGATATAATCGTACGAAAAGTACTGGCATTCGGTGGAGCTGATAGACAATTTCTTCTTTTATATTGTGAAACTAATAAAAGTTCAAGACGTATATCGTAAGTATTTTAAGTATACTGTATTTGGTTATATCGAACAATGTTCCATCGTTTTTATCATTTCGCAAAGTAATGTGTAACTTTTAAATGATTTTTAACTTTTCATTTGAAAGGTATTTTTTTACAGATTTAACCATGTACAATTTTCATAAAATAAGCTGAAATATTTCATGCTATTTTGTTAATATTAAATATGATGCGCAAACATTTCCCATCCATGCTTCCTCAGTAATGTTCATAATATTTTTCACAAGTTTTCATTGTTAAACTGAGCAAAGTGTAAAAAGCAAGCATTTATTGTTGCAGATAGAGATGGGTACCTTGGAATTAAAACAAACTTTGAGTGGACATAGGGGAAGGGTGTGGAATGTTTGTTGGCATCCTAAGGGCACTTGCCTTGCCTCTTGTGGCGAAGATAAAACAATTATAATATGGGGTCCACAAGATCCAAAATGGGTTGTGAAAACTATCCTTACCGAAGGACATACTAGAACCATTAGAGAAATAGCCTGGTCTCCTTGTGGAAATTATATAGCATCTGCTAGTTTTGATGCAACTACTGCTGTATGGGATAAAAAATCTGGGCAATTTGAATGTAATGCAACATTAGAAGGACATGAAAATGAAGTGAAAAGTGTTAGTTGGTCTTGTAGTGGTCAGTTGTTAGCTACTTGTAGTCGTGATAAATCTGTTTGGATATGGGAAGTAAATGATGATGAGTATGAATGTGCTGCTGTTATTAATGCTCACACACAAGATGTGAAGAAGGTAAGTAGATATTGTGCATTAAATACAATTGTAACATTGTTATAATAATATTATTGAAATTAATGACATTTTGGATTATCATAGTAATATCTAGAATGTATCTTGAAATTATTATAGGTGAGGTGGCACCCTAGTGAAGAAGTTGTAGCATCTGCTAGTTATGACAATATAGTAAAAATTTTCAAGGAAGATATAGTAGATAATGATTGGACATGTATAGCAACATTGTCATCCCATACATCAACAGTTTGGAGTCTTGCATGGGACAAAGTGGGTAATCGAATAGCAACTTGCAGTGATGACCAAACAGTGAAAATATGGCAAGAGTTTAAACCTGGTAATGAACCAGGAATTGTTACAACAAACAATGAATCAGTTTGGAAGTGTGTGTGTACTATATCTGGTTATCATACAAGGACAATTTATGATATTGATTGGTGCAAAACAACTGGATTATTAGTGACTGCATGTGGTGACGATATTATTAGAATATTTCAAGAGGATAGTGACTCTGATCCTCAACAGCCTACTTTTACAATGGTCTGTTCAATGGACACTGCTCATACACAAGATGTAAACTCTGTGCAATGGAATCCTAATGTTCCTGGACAACTTGCATCTGCTAGTGATGATGGTTTAGTGAAAATTTGGTTTTATAATGAATAATATAATTATTGCTTTATGTAATTGTACTTTTTAATAATAAATATATTTAAAAGGTGATCATTCATTGTATTAAGTCCCTCTTGCTATCAATAATAAATATTCGTGCTATATTTTGTATTGGTCTAAATTCTTTTATCTGTTTTCTTGTTCTAGGTAATCATAAATGTTTAGACATTTCACAGGACTGCAACAAAGTTATAAAATTGTAACTAGTACCTTGACATACAAACATAACACCTTCTGTGCAATGGGTGATATAAAACTGAATCCTACTGGGATCCCTTTAACCCAAGTTGTAGACACCCTGCAAAACTTTGCAGGTCTATCACTTGCAGAGTCTTGGGATAATGTAGGATTACTTGTTGAACCTACAGAAACGAAATTAGTTTCACACGTTCTTCTAACAAATGATCTTACCGAAGATGTCATGCAAGAAGCTTTAGATTTGAATACAGACATGATTATTACTTATCATCCTTTAATATTTGCACCTATGAAGTCAGTAACGACTCGTTCATGGAAGGTAACGCAAAATTTATAATTGTTATTCATATTTAATCTTATTTTCATTGACCGATGCTTTTATTAATTATTTCTTTCATAAACGATATTCCTTAGGAGAGAATTGTTGCCAAATGTTTAGAAAATAAAATTGCCGTATACTCTCCGCATACTACTTTTGATTCGGTAAAGGGCGGTGTAAACGATTGGTTGGCCTCGGCATTTGAAAATGGTAAATTTATGATCGAACATTTTTTAACGTTTTGATACTGTGATTAATTTAACATTGTGTATGTAAGTGCTCGAGAATAGTAAACCTCTACAAGTAAATGCAAGTAATAGTGAATATGGTGCTGGACGAATGTGTACTTTAAAAAGTAAAATCTCTATTGAGGATGCTGTCCAACGAGTAAAGGAATGCACTGGTTTGAAACATGTTAGATTAGCTCGTGCTCGTCAAACAGGTACAGAACGTTTTGATTCAAGTCTTTTTTTAATGTATTTATAAATTTGAAATGTTGTGACTTGACTTTAACTTTCAGACGGTTTTATTAATACTATTGCACTTTGTGCTGGATCTGGTGCATCTATTTTAAAGAACGTGCCCGCTGATTTGTATCTTACGGGGGAAATGTTACACCATGACGTTCTTGACGCTGTACACAAGAGAACTAATGTGATACTAACAAATCATTCTGATTCTGAACGTGGTTTTTTAAAAATATTTGCAAATTTCTTAAATGGCACATGGAAGAATTCTGTAACAGTGTGTGTTTCCGAGAATGATACTGATCCTTTAAAAACCGTTTAATTTAAAGAAAAAAACTAGATGCGTCAATATAAACATAGGGATGGAAATATACGTTAGACGTGATAAAATTTTATTATTAATATTATAAATTATCTGTTCCATTTAGGGATTGACAATTTTTTATTTCAATCTGGTAAAGTTAGTCAGAGAGATATCCAGGGAAATTGAAGTACATAAAAGAATCATCGTATATTGCGTTTCAACATAAATAATTTACAGCTATAACAAAAACTGCATTTAAGTTTTCATGTATAACGCGCTTAAACTACTTTGCAATTAATCTTTGAACATGTATAACGATTATAGAATCGATTTTTTCTTAATTTGATTATTGAAATATTTTTTCCACTTGTTCCATCATTTGTCTATTTCTTCTCATGTTCGCATTCATTCGTAACTCACGCATTATGGTTACGAAGAGAAATTTGACTTTAACAACGTACGTACGTAACCGATGCTTATTGAAAACTTATAACTAAATAAAATATAACAGTCGTTATTCTGGTCCAATTGGAACAACTTCAATTTTGGGTCCACGCATCCAATTTTCCATTTTTCCTTTCCCAATACTTCCATTTTTGATCTTAACTTGTGTGTCGCTAAACGATAGATGAAAATTAGTTGTCCATAGCAGAGTTCCGTAAGTATAACACGACTCTAGCGGTTCAACGTAGGTAAACTTACAATTCTAATAACTGATCTCTCACACTCTCGTTATTATTACAATGCTTTGTGTGTGTGTGTGTGTTTGTCTATATGCGTACACAACGATGAAATGCGTTAATACACGATGAACACTTTATAAATTGCGATTCTCTAGATCACCGAAAACGGTGTGGAAGTATACCCTGAGCTCAGATGCCCAAAAAACGTCGATCGAGTTGTTAGATATTTTCGAGAATATTGCAGAACAGACAACGTGAAACTTAAAACTAAGTTGGTATACGAATTATAGGTTAATAGTATCTGTCATTTCTAGTCGGTTAGCTTTTTCGTTTTATGTTTTGAGTTTAACGTTTTCTATTACTGCGATAAAAAATTGATTAGCCGCTAAATCGTTGCGTTTTAACCACTTAAATCGGGACTACATTCTTATTAGACATTTCTTCTTTCATTTCTCTTGGAAAATTTTTATATTATTAAAAAAATGTTAATTATTAACAACTGATTAATACGTCGATTGAATTTCGGTGTTCGATATATCGATAGATTTCTAGGTTATAGCGGCTCGTGCCTCCAAGCGAGCAACTTCACACCGATTCTAATACGAACATAGCCCGATATTCGTTTTAATTTCCATCAAAAAACCGTTCGTCCATTTAGATATACGTGTAATCCTATTATATGAAACGAAACAATGTAACAATGAAAAAAAAAAAAACGGTTGCCGTGTGCATGTGTATGTTTTTTTTTTTTCACAAATACTACCGCACCTCTCTGTGTACCACTGTCATTTCCAACACGAAATATTTTTTTATTCTCTCGAAGCTACGATTCGCCGAGCATCTAGATCGATTTTGAAGATAATCCAGATTTATTTCGCATCTCTAATCCGAACTCTCAATTTACACGGTTGAAGGCGATTTTCACGCTTCCGCTGTCTCTTCGAACCAAACAAATATTCGTGGCGACTTCTCGTACATTAGAAAGTGTGTCACATAGCCTATGTACCATATATAGTAAATGTATCGTTTATAACGGAACGATTAAAAATCTTAAGTCGCATCTCAACAGTAATTCGTACATTTCCTTTGGCAAGTACAATGTATTGTCTTATAACCGTAACACAGCAAATAAAATCGTACTCCCTTCAGCATCCTCGACGAACTATTTATTACCATCGACAGTTCATTTTTTTCCATTTTTCTTCGTTATTTTTTTACTTTGGTTTTTTAATACAGGATGTTCCAGAATTGAAAAGTTAAATTTGCGAATAATCCTTAATACGTATTTTTTCGAGTGAAGGTGAATAGGTCAGGGAAAACCAATTTGGCCTCCGTATCACCGTCATATTTTTAGCTGTAGGTAAAATTATCGACAGGAAAAGCGTATCGACGGATATCAATGTTCGTTCATGTGGAAATTCACAGATAAATGAGATGTCTCAATTCGGTTCGTTCGATTTGTATTAACCAAAATGGCGGTTATCTTGAAAATTCCCCCTTTTCTGTTTTTTTATTTCGTCCCTACTCACGAAACATATATACGAAGCACAATTCGATGGTATAATTCTGGGACACCCTATACATTGATTCTTATCTTACTTCGTTACAACATACTACTTTTCTTATAATACATCCAGCATCCGTTGTGCTGCAATATGGTCCGATTTTACCTTCACCTTTCTCCTTTTTTATTCTCTCTATCCGTGCTTTTAGTCTTCCTCGCAGATCCCTTCCGTCGATCCAATAAGATCACTTTACCGTTTCTTTTCCTCACTTGTGTATCTGTTTTAACGTTTCTCGTATACTTTCAAGATGGTTGTCGCCTCTCCTCCTGCTCCTTCTTTTTCTCCACCTCTCACCAGCCATTTTCTACGTGAGCTATTCGATTTTTCGGAAAGCGGCTACCAGTGACGTTTTTAATTTAATCTGAAAATGTAAAATTGCACATGATTAAAATGTTAGAATTTCATCTTTCTGTTTCGTTCGATTAAACCGATATTACGTAAAAGAAACTGTTGCGTTCCAGGCAAATTTTCTGAAATATCAATGTTAATAGCACACAGAGAAAGAATTCTTGCAAGGAAAAGTCTCAAGGTGTAGATATCACTTTTTAATGAACTTCCACACGCTGGTAATGGCGCTTTAAATATGGATGATTTATGGAGCCAACGGGTTAATGGTTTAAGGGGTATTTAACGTTTACAAAGTTTTAAAGAGATTTCGTTATACCAACGCTGTCCGGACTAAGCTCCGTCGCTTAGGGACTTCTTACACTCTGTCCGCTTTATTATAAATGAGCATGGAGCGTTATTCACAATATAAACTCGTACTATTTCGTCGAAAATTCATTAATCGATACGGACGATTGAATAAAAATTACAAGATAAATCGTTTTAAAGGCGCAATTTTAAATATATAAATTTGATTCGATTAATTTTCCTTCTAATTCAAAAATCTTCCGAAAAAATTAGTCACGTTGCATTATAAAAAAAATTCAACTTAAGAATCTAAACATCATGTTTAATGTATGTATTTACACAGGAAAATTAGATTGTACAAATAAATTATGCTCCTTTGTAAATAATTTGTACAAAACAATCGATTATTTTCACGGATCATTTTTTGTCTGTTTTTCAGAATTTCTAGTTTTATTTACGCCAGTGAATCAAAGTATCGTTATTATGTTCGTGTATAAAATTTTTATATTTGAAAAAGACAAATATCGTCTGTTAAACGTCACTCTCTTACAATCACGAGCGGCAATTCTGTTCGTTGAAACTTCCCGATTAAATTAGCAACTCGAGACGAAGATTCGATTTGAGACGTTGCTCGGTTGGTTGACTGCGACATATTGTGTACGCGCGTTAGAGCAAAAATCAAATTTTCGTCAAGTCAGTTTCCCTTTTAACGTTACCAAAAGCGACGCTCGTTACATGGAGATTTACCGATGAATATCCGAAATGAGCGTCTGTCCGCTGTAAACCCGCCGTCA